GCGGCAGTGACGGTGGAAAGTGGTGGTGACAGTGACGACAGTGGTGGTGGTGGTGACAGTGGAGGTAGTGGTGGTGGTGGTGACAGTGACGACAGTCGTGGTGGTGGTGACAGTGACGACAGTGGTGGTGGTGACAGTGACGACAGTGGTGGTGGTGGTGGTGACAGTGGAGGTAGTGGTGGTGACAGTGACGACAGTCGTGGTGGTGGTGACAGTGGTGGTGGTGGTGGTGACAGTGGAGGTAGTGGTGATGGTGGTGACAGTGACGACAGTCGTGGTGGTGGTGACAGTGGTGGTGGTGGTGACAGTGACGACAGTCGTGGTGGTGGTGACAGTAGTGGTGACAGTGACGACAGTGGTGGTGGTGGTGGTGGTGGTGACAGTGACGACAGTGGTGGTGGTGGTGACAGTGACGACAGTGATGGTGGTGGTGACAGTGACGACAGTGGTGGTGGTGGTGACAGTGACGACAGTGATGGTGGTGGTGACAGTGACGACAGTGGTGGTGGTGGTGACAGTGACGACAGTGGTGGTGGTGGTGGTGGTGACAGTGACGACAGTGGTGGTGGTGGTGGTGACAGTGACGACAGTGGTGGTGGTGACAGTGACGACAGTGGTGGTGACAGTGACGACAGTGGTGGTGGTGGTGGTGACAGTGACGACAGTGGTGACAGTGGTGGTGACAGTGACGACAGTGGTGGTGACAGTGACGACAGTGGTGGTGGTGGTGGTAGTGGTGACAGTGACGACAGTGATGGAGGTGGTGACAGTGACGACAGTGGTGGTGGTGGTGGTGACAGTGGCGACAGTGATGGTGGTGGTGACAGTGACGACAGTGGTGGTGGTGGTGACAGTGACGACTGTGGTGGTGGTGGTGACAGTGACAACAGTGGTGGTGGTGGTGACAGTGACGACAGTGGTGGTGGTGGTGACAGTGACGACAGTGGAGGTGGTGACAGTGACGACAGTGTTGGTGGTGGTGGTGGTGACAGTGGTGGTGGTGGTGGTGACAGTGACGACAGTGTTGGTGGTGGTGGTGGTGACAGTGGTGGTGGTGACAGTGGTGGTGGTGGTGACAGTGACAACAGTGGTGGTGGTGGTGACAGTGAAGACAGTGGTGGTGGTGACAGTGACGACAGTGGTGGTGGTGGTGACAGTGAAGACAGTGGTGGTGGTGACAGTGACGACAGTGGTGGTGGTGGTGACAGTGACGACAGTGGTGGTGGTGGTGACAGTGAAGACAGTGGTGGTGGTGACAGTGACGACAGTGGTGGTGGTGGTGACAGTGAAGACAGTGGTGGTGGTGACAGTGACGACAGTGGTGGTGGTGGTGACAGTGACGACAGTGGTGGTGGTGACAGTGACGACAGTGGTGGTGGTGGTGACAGTGACGACAGTGGTGGTGGTGGTGACAGTGACGACAGTGGTGGTGGTGACAGTGACGACAGTGGTGGTGGTGGTGACAGTGACGACAGTGGTGGTGGTGACAGTGACGACAGTGGTGGTGGTGACAGTGACGACAGTGGTGGTGGTGGTGACAGTGACGACAGTGGTGGTGGTGGTGACTGTGACGACAGTGGTGGTGGTGACAGTGACGACAGTGGTGGTGGTGGTGACAGTGACAACAGTGGTGGTGGTGGTGACAGTGAAGACAGTGGTGGTGGTGGTGACAGTGACGACAGTGGTGGTGGTGGTGACAGTGAAGACAGTGGTGGTGGTGACAGTGACGACAGTGGTGGTGGTGGTGACAGTGACGACAGTGGTGGTGGTGGTGACAGTGAAGACAGTTGTGGTGGTGACAGTGACGACAGTGGTGGTGGTGGTGACAGTGACGACAGTGGTGGTGGTGACAGTGACGACAGTGGTGGTGGTGGTGACAGTGACGACAGTGGTGGTGGTGGTGCAGCCCGTCCTCGAAAAATGGGGAGGTAAATGTAAGAACACAAATAAGTGCAATTATGTACTATTCATAGCAGTCAGGAATTGTACTTATTTTCACTTAGTATTAAATCAAACTCTCAAATATATTGTGAATATTTGAGTTTACCTGAAAAACTGAATAGAAAACCACAACCTCACCTAACCGTCTTAATTTTTGAAGATAATAATTTTATTGCTTCTTATTTACAATTAGTACTGAACCTATAGCTTTACTGATATTATAGTTTTATAAAACTAATAAAACAAAACTAAAATATATCAATAAATTGTAAAGTAACTCAGGATATTTTCCAATTTTGCATAAAATCTCTATTGTTTAATAAACCTGAAAAAGAAATTCCTGATATTTAAAAGTTGTGTATAACATTATAAACTTGAAAGCTTCATCCTAAGATTCTGAGTGTCTTAACAGAAAACTAGAATTAATAGGGAGGTAAGTGTAAGAGCCCCATAAGTGCAATTATGTACTGTGTATGACGGTAAGGAAATGTACCTATTACACTTAGTATTAAATCGCACTGTCAATTCGGAGGATGGGTTGGGTGGTGACAGTGTGACATATACTCTGCCTAAAGCCAAAAATTGTCGTACAAGAAAATGGGAGCGGCTGGCGAAAGTCACATACTGTCCCGTTTTCTGTTTTGGGTCCTCTGGTAGGTTAGGATAAAGGCACCTTAATACGACAGTTTCTTGACGTTGTGGAAACCTTAGGAGGACGGACTGCATGACAGCTGTCACTGACAGGTTTTAACCGTCACAAACACAATATGAAATTAAATTAATGTCTTTGTCCAATCTATTTGTAATCGTTTATCTGGCCTTAATAATTGTATTACAAATACAATAGCCAACGGAACTTAAACCTCTATCCTAATTTATCCCTAACTATACACAAGATTCTAACAATTAATAATCTTAAATTATACATGAAAATACAGATTTTTAAACAGTTTCCATAAAATTTAAAAGTGCGTGTTTGGGCTCGGTCGCTGCCTAAACCAATGCAGCCTCAAAACGGAGGAATGATTTGTTGACAAACAACATCCTCCCCCCCCCACCCCACACCTGTCATCAACCCCCCCCCACACCCCTCTAAAGACGGGAACACCTGTCAGTCCCCACTACCACCAGAGGGCCTTCACACCGACCCATTTAAAGACGCCAACAGCAACCACAGGCAACAGATGGTGGAGACTTGTGAGCTGGCCGGACCCACGCCGCCACCACCACCCTCCTCAGCCACTTCCAGGGTGGTTGAGGGGGTCTGTGAGACCCTACAGGAGGGCTGTGAGTCCCTACAGGGGCGACTGTGAGTCCCTACAGGGGAACTGTGAGTCCCTACAGGAGGGCTGTGAGTCCCTACAGGAGGGCTGTGAGTCCCTACAGGAGGGCTGTGAGTCCCTACAGGGGAACTGTGAGTCCCTACAGGAGGGGCGACTGTGAGTCCCTACAGGACTGTGAGTCCCTACAGGGGAACTGTGAGTCCCTACAGGAGGACTGTGAGTCCCTACAGGGGAACTGTGAGTCCCTACAGGGGAACTGTGAGACCCTACAGGAGAACTGTGAGACCCTACAGGGGAACTGTGAGACCCTACAGGGGAACTGTGAGTCCCTACAGGGGAACTGTGAGTCCCTACAGGAGAACTGTGAGTCCCTACAGGAGAACTGTGAATCCCTACAGGAGAACTGTGAGTCCCTACAGGAGGACTGTGAATCCCTACAGGGGAACTGTGAATCCCTACAGGAGGACTGTGAGTCCCTACAGGGGAACTGTGAGACCCTACAGGAGAACTGTGAGTCCCTACAGGAGAACTGTGAATCCCTACAGGAGAACTGTGAGTCCCTACAGGAGGACTGTGAATCCCTACAGGGGAACTGTGAATCCCTACAGGAGGACTGTGAATCATTCCCGATCTAGTAACACCCGTCATTATACATCATTATTCTCACTTCCTTCCTACCGTCCCTCACACCAATTCACTCATTCTCATTGTAGCTTTTGTCCCGCCGAAAGTACATTATACTTCCCTCTTTCAAAATGGAAAAAAAAGCTTTGTAAGAAAGCTTCCTTGAACGCTTCCTCCACCGGCTGCTTCCTCTCATATTTCAATGTTATTGTCTTTAATTTGTCTTTGTTTTCCCATTCTGTGTTTGTCTACACATTTATAAAGACAAAACTTTTCCCTGTTACAGACGACACAAGTTTTAATTAATAATAATAATAAAAATAATACAATATTAGCGCAGTTTAGCCTAGTAATTCTAAATTCATGATTTTGAAAAACTATAGAATTATATAATATATTGAACGAAACTTCATCTTTAATATAACATTAATGTTCATTTCTGAGAAATATATTAAGTAAAGAGCGCTAGTTATGTCATTTAGTAATTAGGAAGCGTCTTAGGAGGGTATGATAGCCTAGTATATGAGACTGGATACTCAAGAACCACCGTTCAGAGTTAATATGACGCTAGATATCAGGTTTGAAATTACGTTTATGATATCGTGATGACGTCGAATGAACGTATTGCATTCGTCTGTGTACGTATATATATATATATATACATAAGCTTTTGTGAGCGTTTATGTACGTTTACGAGTGAGCGTTCGTGTAGGTTATGTCTTGTGTGCGTTTGTGTACGTTTAAACATGTAGTCTTGGGTCCAGATTCACGAAAGCACTTACGCAAGCACTTACGAACCTGTACATCTTTTCTCAATCTTTGGCGGCTTTGTTTACAATTATTAAACAGTTAATGAGCTCCGAAGCACCAGGAGGCTGTTTAAAACAATAACAACAGTTGAATGGGAAGTTTTCATGCTTGTAAACTGTTTAATAAATGTAACCAAAGCCGTCAATGATTGAGGAAAGATGTACACGTTCGTAAGTGCTTGCGTAACTGTTTCGTGAATCTGGCCCAGGATGATCACACCTGTCACAGCCTGTCACACCCTCTCACAGCCTGCCACACTGTTACGCCGCCACACCAACACCAGACAACTACACACCCCCTCACCACACAACCACTAACCCCCGCCACCTGTTGGTGTTGCAGGTGTGGGCAGGTGTGGAGGCAACCCGACGGCCAAGAGGGAGGCGGAGGGGACCAGCCCCAAGATCACCTACAGCAAGGAGACCATCGCTAAGGAGGGAGATGAAGTCAAGATCGACTGCGCTGTGGAGGGAGTCGACCTCACCGGCATCGCTGGCTTCAGTGTCTCTTGGAGCAAGGTGAGAGAGAGAGAGAGAGAGAGATACGTGACTATCTCTCTCTTGTGTGTGTGTGTGTGTGTGAGAGAGAGAGAGAGAGAGAGAGAGAGAGAGAGAGAGAGAGAGAGAGAGAGAGAGAGAGAGAGAGAGAGAGAGAGAGAGAGAGAGAGAGAGAGAGAGAGAGAGAGAGAGAGAGAGAGAGAGAGAGAGAGAGAGAGAGACGTGCCTATCTCTCTCTTGTGTGAGGGAGATAGTTAAACATTAATAAGGTAATACAGTAATTTGTAACTAATATCAGGTTATCGAAGCGGCTCTAATATATTCGTTTTCATAGCAGTAACCATATTAACAAGTAATCTCATATTTTAATGGCATATAAATACTGCTTATATAAATTGTGTTCATTATGTCATTGAGTGGTGATGGTGTTTAATCATAGTGTTAACTGACAACAAAGGAGTCAGCTGAGAAACTCATATTTCAAATATCAAAATCAAATCAAATGTTTATTTAGGTAAGGTACATACATACAAGAGATTTTACAAAGAGTGATGGATTTATAGATAGGGCTAGTACATACAATGCCTAAAGCCACTATTACGCAAAGCGTTTCGGGCATTTCTCTTGTTCATATGCACCGGTCATACTGAGTATTGCGCTCTGTTTGCTAAGGAATGACAATGTCAAGTTAGAGCCGCCCTGCTGGCTTACGTAGCTGAAAGTGGCATGTGTAGCCTCTTCTGGCCACAAGAGGACAAATACATATGGCGCTCTTAGGCTACAAAGCCACATTTACACTGGTGTGTAGCCTCTTCTGGCCACAAGAGGACAAATACATATGGTGCTCTTAGGCTACAAAGCCTCATTTACACTAGTTCGACTCCCAGTTGGCAAACCCAGACAGAATGATAAGCCAAACAACACAAAAATTAAATTATTAACGTACATATACGGTCACCATAGCTTCACTGTCACTATTCCACATATATTATTATATGTACTGTTGGAACTTCACTGTTGTCAGCCTGTGTAGCCACCTGCTGTCATCGTCCCATTAACAACCTTCCTTCCTCCGTCAACACCTCGGGTCCACCACCACCACTAACGCCTACTCCTTCTCCAGATAAACGAAGAGAAACCTACGAACTCGTACCCCATTGCCACCAATGACAAGGTCCTGCTCTTCTCCAACAAGTTTAGAGTCGACCACCCGGCCGACTCGCACCAGTACTCTCTCATTGTAAGTAATTGAGCCTTCTGGCCCATAGAACCCTCTTTTGGTCTATTGAACCCCTCCTCTAGCCCATAGAACCCTCTTTTGGTCTATTGAACCCCTCCTCTAGCCCATAGAACTCTCTTCTGGCCCATAGAACCCTCATCTAGCCCATAGAACCCTCATCTAGCCCATAGAACTCTCTTCTGGCCCATAGAACCCTCATCTAGCCCATAGAACTCTCTTCTGGCCCATAGAACCCTCCTCTGGCCCATAGAACCCTCATCTAGCCCATAGAACCCTCCTCTGGCCCATAGAACTCTCTTCTGGCCCATAGAACCCTCGTCTAGCCCATAGAACCCTCCTCTGGCCCATAGAACCCTCATCTAGCCCATAGAACCCTCCTCTGGCCCATAGAACTCTCTTCTGGCCCATAGAGCCCTCGTCTAGCCCATAGAACCCTCTTCTGGTCCATAGAACCATCCTCTGACCCCATAGAACCATCCTCTGGCCACTATAGAACTTTTCCTTGGCCACTGTAGGAGCCCTTTGCTGTGTTGATCAAGTAGAAAGTGTACTGTAATCTTGAAGAAGTGTCAAGAAAGGTGATAGTGAGAAGTATGGAAGGTGATAACCCTCTCCTCCACCCTCCTGGAGGTGATAACCATCTCCTCCACCCTCCTGGAGGTGATAACCCTCTCCTCCACCCTCCTGAAGGTGATAACCCTCTCCTCCACCCTCCTGAAGGTGATAACCCCATCTCCTCCGCCCTCCTGAAGGTGATAACCATCTCCTCCACCCTCCTGGAGGTGATAACCCCATCTCCTCCACCCTCCTGGAGGTGATAACCCCATCTCCTCCGCCCTCCTGAAGGTGATAACCCTCTCCTCCACCCTCCTGGAGGTGATAACCCCATCTCCTCCACCCTCCTGAAGGTGATAACCATCTCCTCCACCCTCCTGAAGGTGATAACCCCATCTCCTCCGCCCTCCTGAAGGTGATAACCATCTCCTCCACCCTCCTGAAGGTGATAACCATCTCCTCCACCCTCCTGAAGGTGATAACCCCATCTCCTCCACCCTCCTGGAGGTGATAACCCTCTCCTCCACCCTCCTGGAGGTGATAACCATCTCCTCCACCCTCCTGGAGGTGATAACCCCATCTCCTCCACCCTCCTGAAGGTGATAACCATCTCCTCCACCCTCCTGGAGGTGATAACCATCTCCTCCACCCTCCTGGAGGTGATAACCATCTCCTCCACCCTCCTGAAGGTGATAACCCCATCTCCTCCACCCTCCTGGAGGTGATAACCATCTCCTCCACCCTCCTGGAGGTGATAACCCCATCTCCTCCACCCTCCTGAAGGTGATAACCCCATCTCCTCCACCCTCCTGGAGGTGATAACCATCTCCTCCACCCTCCTGAAGGTGATAACCATCTCCTCCACCCTCCTGAAGGTGATAACCATCTCCTCCACCCTCCTGGAGGTGATAACCATCTCCTCCACCCTCCTGGAGGTGATAACCCGATCTCCTCCACCCTCCTGGAGGTGATAACCATCTCCTCCACCCTCCTGGAGGTGATAACCATCTCCTCCACCCTCCTGAAGGTGATAACCATCTCCTCCACCCTCCTGAAGGTGATAACCCCATCTCCTCCGCCCTCCTGAAGGTGATAACCATCTCCTCCACCCTCCTGGAGGTGATAACCCCATCTCCTCCACCCTCCTGAAGGTGATAACCATCTCCTCCACCCTCCTGGAGGTGATAACCCCATCTCCTCCACCCTCCTGAAGGTGATAACCATCTACTCCGCCCTCCTGAAGGTGATAACCCTCTCCTCCACCCTCCTGGAGGTGATAACCCCATCTCCTCCACCCTCCTGGAGGTGATAACCCCATCTCCTCCACCCTCCTGAAGGTGATAACCATCTCCTCCACCCTCCTGGAGGTGATAACCCCATCTCCTCCACCCTCCTGGAGGTGATAACCCCATCTCCTCCACCCTCCTGAAGGTGATAACCATCTCCTCCGCCCTCCTGAAGGTGATAACCCTCTCCTCCGCCCTCCTGGAGGTGATAACCATCTCCTCCGCCCCCCTGAAGGTGATAACCCCATCTCCTCCGCCCTCCTGGAGGTGATAACCATCTCCTCCACCCTCCTGGAGGTGATAACCCCATCTCCTCCACCCTCCTGGAGGTGATAACCATCTCCTCCACCCTCCTGAAGGTGATAACCCTCTCCTCCACCCTCCTGGAGGTGATAACCCCATCTCCTCCACCCTCCTGGAGGTGATAACCCCATCTCCTCCACCCTCCTGAAGGTGATAACCCCATCTCCTCCACCCTCCTGAAGGTGATATCCATCTCCTCCGCCCTCCTGAAGGTGTTCTCCCGCCGCAGATCAAGTCGATGACGGAGGAGGACACCGGCCTCTATCGCTGTACCGTCAACTTCGGCGAGGACCAGAAGATTAACGCCGACGTCCCCGTCACCCTCCAGAAGGCCCCCTACTTCACGGACGACTTCACCAAGACTCTAACCGTAAGTTGTCTTCCTCCTCCTCCTCCTCCTCTATCTCCTCTTTCTCCAAAGGACGTCGACCCGGTGAGAAGGAATTAGCGAGCTCATTTGGTCGTCTCGTTTCTTTCTCCGGGACAAAACCAGGAACATTCTTCCCCGCTGTTAAGGGAATTGGTCAAATTGGTCCTTCATTATGTCTGAACAAGACGCCAGTTTCCCGGAAGTAACGGGGGGGGGGGGGGGGGGGTCGCTGTTTACCTCTCTCCCTCCCCCCCCTCCCTCTCTCTCCCTCTTCTTCCCTCACTTCCTCTCTCTCTCTCTCTCACCTCCCGCCCCCCCCTCCCTCTCTCTCTCTCACCTCCTGCCCCCCCCCTCTCACCTTCCCATCTCCTTCCGCTATTCTTTTCCTTTCATACCCTTTCTCCTGCCCTGTCCTACGCTACCCTGCCTTACTCTGGGCTGTCCTGGCCTGTCCTGGCCTGTCCTAGCCTCCCTTGCCCTGCCTTCTTCTGCCCTGGCCTGTCCTGGCCTGTCCTAGCCTCCCTTACCCTGCCTTCTTCTGCCCTGGCCTGTCCTGGCCTGTCCTGGCCTGTCCTAGCCTCCCTTGCCCTGCCTTCTTCTGCCGTGGCCTATCCTGGCCTGTCCTAGCCTCCCTTGCCCTGCCTTCTGCCGTGGCCTGCCCCTGCACCGTAGTAAAGATGGCTGGTGTTGCAGGTGACGGAGGGAGACGCCATCAGCATCGACTGTCAGCCCGGCGGGTCGCCCAAGCCCGACGTGTACTGGGAGAGACTCAACCAGGAGCTGCCCTACTACGGCGGCAAGTTCTTCAAGTGAGTGTGTGTACTTATCTAGTTGTGTTCATCTCGGGCTCTTTGGTCCCGCCTCTCAACTGTCAATCAACTGGTTATCTTCTTGAGATCTTGAGGTTATCTTGAGATGATTTCGGGGCTTTAGTGTGCCCGCGGCCCGGTCTTCGACCAGGCCTCCACCCCCAGGAAGCAGCCTGTGACAGCTGACTAACACCCAGGTACCTACCAGGTACCAGGTACCTATGTACCTGGTGTACAGATTCTTGAGCCTATTGGGTTCTTCTATCATATCTACACTTGAAATTGTGTATGGAGTCAGCCTCCACCACATCACTGCCTAATGCATTCCATCTGTTAACTACTCTGACACTGAAAAAGTTATTTCTAACGTCTCTGTGGCTCATTTGGGTACTCAGTTTCCACCCGAGTCCCCTTATGCGTGTACCACCCGTATTAAATAGTCAATCCTTGTCTACCCTGTCATTTCCTCTGAGAATTTTGTATGTGGTGATCATGTCATCCCTAGCTCTTCTGTCTTCCAGCGACGTAAGGGGCAATTTACGCAGCCTGTCCTCATAACTCAAGCCTCTTATTTCTGGGACTAGCCTACTGGCATACCTCTAAACCTTTTCCAGCTTCAGCTTGTGCTTGACAAGGTACGTGTGTGTGTGTGTGTGTGTGTGTGTGTGTGTGTGTGTGTGTGTGCGTGTGTGTGTGTGCGTGTGTGTGTGTGTGTGTGTGTGTGTGTGTGTGTGTGTGTGTGTGTGTGTGTGTGTGTGTGTGTGTGTGTGTGTGTGTGTGTGTGTGTGTGTGTAATGCTGTTCCTCTCTCTCTCAACTCACCTTCCCACCACTTCAAGGCTCTTCAATTATTTTACGACTGTGACCAAGTTATGAAACGGAAATTGATAGGCCACACATAAATTCCATTCATTTGTTTTGCTTTTTCTGAGCACTTGTACATCAACATTTAAAACTACTCAAGGGGCGGACTTGGTCCACGGGGGCACCAGTTGAGGTGAGGCGTGTGTCGACCATCACACTAGCAGCTGTAGTAGTGACGTTGCCGGCGTGTGTCGACCATCACACCAGCTGTAGTGACATTGCCGGCGTGTGTCGACCATCACACCAGCTGTAGTGACATTGCCGGCGTGTGTCGACCATCACACCAGCTGTAGTAACATTGTCGGCGTGTGTCGACCATCACACTAGCAGCTGTAGTAGTAACATTGTCGGCGTGTGTCGACCATCACACCAGCTGTAGTAGTAACATTACCGGTGTGTGTCGACAGGTCCAACCAGCTGGACATCCCGCTGATCGAGCGGAGTCACAAGGGCCACTACGTCTGCTACGCCGACAACGGCATCGGGGACCCCGCCAACTCCCACGTCATCCTCGAAGTGCAGTTTGTCCCCGAAATCACCGTCGCCAAGGACCGGGTAAGCTACGGCCCTTCCTCCTCAAACCGTTCTCTCACTTTCTTATAGTCAATATCAGCTTATTTAATAAGTGCATATGTGACATACTAATTGATTGTGAATATTTTAGTTTACCTTGAAAAGCTTCATAGAAAACACCGACCTAACCTTCTTAATATGTTAAGATAAGCGTCTTATTGCTTCTTAATTTCAATTATACTTAACGTATACCGTTGATAGGTTAAGTAATAATTGTAAATAAGAAGCAGTAAGATGCTTATCTTAACATACTAAGAAGGTTAGGTGAGGTCGGTGTTTTCTATGAAGCTTTTCAAGGTAAACTAAAATATTCACAATCAATAGTATGTCACATATGCACTTATTAAATATGCCAATATTGACTATAAGCAAGTGCGAGAACGAGTTTTCCTCCTCGAGTCCTCACGTTCCTCCTCTTGCATTCACAGCCATAATAATATTATTAGCAGCACTTCCATCATCATCAATAACCTAAGATTTGTTGACCAGACCACACACTAGAAATTGAAGGGACGACGACGTTTCGGTCCGTCCTGGACCATTCTCAAGTCGATTGTGAGAATGGTCACAATCGACTTGAGAATGGTCCAGGACGGACCGAAACGTCGTCGTCCCTTCAATTTCTAGTGTGTGGTCTGGTCAACATACTTCAGCCACGTTATTGTGACTCATCGCCTGAATAACCAAAGAGCCTCGTCACCTTCACCTACGTCCCACTGATATATAAACCTGTCCCCTGTGCCCCGGCAGGTGTTCGCTTCGGTGACGGAGGAGGTGGTGATGGAGTGTAAGGTGCTGGCTCACCCTCCAGCAGACGTCGCCTGGTTCAAGGGCGACTCACCCATCCTGGGGAGTGCCAATATGAGGTGAGTCCTGGTATATATATATATATATATATATATATATATATATATATATATATATATATATATATATATATATATATATATATATATATATATGTCCCTGTCCTCGTCGAGGCCCCAGGGTTAGTGGCCCTTCAGGTAAATATTTGGATATAAATATTTGACCGATTATCGTGAGGTAATCTCCTGCGGCCAGATTCACGAAGCAGTTACGCAAGCACTTACGAACGTGTACATCTTTCCTCAATCTTTGACGGCTTTGGTTACATTTAATAAACAGTTTACAAGCATGAAAACTTCCCAATCAACTGTTGTTATTGTTATAAACAGCCTCCTGGTGCTTCGGAGCTCATTAACTGTTTCATAATTGTAAACAAAGCCGCCAAAAATTGAGAAAAGATGTACTGGTTCGTAAGTGCTTGCGTAACTGCTTCTTGAATCTGGCCCCCTAGGCCTATGTGTGTGGGTTAGGCCAGTGAGCAGAAGGAACTGTGCCAAAGTTCTCCCACGACACCTTGAGCATCTAGGGATTTTCTAGTCTCACCTGCTGTGGCCCCGGTCCTTCCAACAGGCTGAAGACGGAGACCCTGGAAGATGGTCTAGTGGTGTCGAGCCTGGCGGTGAACCAGGTCTCCCCCGAGGATGTGGGCACCTACACCTGCCGCGCCCTCAACACCATCGGCACTACGGAAAAAGACATCGCCTTGATGAGTAGGTGATATACGGGTGTCGTCTGAACGTTCAGCTTCCTCCAGCGTCACCTTGGCTGTCAGTAGATTGAGTTGGATTATATTTGTGGATAATAAAGAGGGGTTTGGCATTGTCATAATTTGTTTCTCTAATTGCTCTGAATGTTATTCGTCACAGCCAAGTCCCCGCCGCTGATCCTTAAGCAGTCTGGCAGGGAGGTGTTTTACGACAATGAGAGGAGCCGCCTGCGGGACGCCCTGCCAGTCGTCCTCGAGTGTGAGGCTGACGGCGCCCCGAGCCCAAAGTACCGCTGGACCAAGGACGACAAGGCTTTCATCTGGCAGGCTGACCCGCGCATCAGCATGGAGGAAGGCACTGGGAACCTCCTCATCAGCGACCCCACCATGGACGACAATGGTTTATACCAATGCTTCGCCTACAACGATCTGGGCACCGCCGTCTCCAACCCCATCTACCTCTTAAACATAACCAGAATCGAGTTCGCAAATGACAAAGATGAAAGCGACACGTACAACGTCGAGGCTGAGTTGGGCCGACCCTTTAAGCTCTCCTGCCCAGAGGCGTATGGTTACCCGACGCCCAGCTTAAGCTGGGTCAAGGCTATCCAGCATGAAACCCAGATCGAACTGGTGTTCTTAAGCGACGATCGAATCATCGCGGGTCCCAACGGTAGCCTGTGGTTCACTCACGTCACTCAGGCCGACGACACGCGCCTCAACAACTTCCAGTACATCTGCCTCGCCAACACCTCTTTTGCGCCGTACGACTACTCGATGGCCTCCGTGATCGAGCTCACAGTGAAGGATCCTGCCGACGGCGCTCACAACCTGCAGGAGGAGGCGCTCAACGTCGAGAGCTTCCCTATGTACACTTCGCCCGCCACCGTTCAGTTCATCGCTGGTCGGGAGAATAAACTCTACTGCATCTACGGTGGAGAGTGAGTATCCCTCCCCCTGGCACCCTCCTCAGCCCTGGCACCCTCCTCAGCCCTGGCACCCTCCTCAGCCCTGGCACCTTCCTCAGCCCTGGCACCCTCCTCAGCCCTGGCACCCTCCTCAGCCCTGGCACCCTCCTCAGCCCTGGCAGTAGACGTTCCAGCTGACGCTATGGGTGCCATTGTATACCTGATGTTATCCTTATCAGTAGCAATCTTTTTTTAACCTCTGAGTCATCAGTTCATGCTTACGACACCTGCTACTTCCATCACTAAATATAGTTTTATTAACATAATTAGGTACCTGATCTATATGAAGATACAGCTGATACAGATAAGATAAGATACAGCTGCCTATATGAAGGGACTATAGGGTCTACCCGCCAAACACACACCGAAACTACGACGTTAGTACAACGTTCGAACAAGTTTTAACACTTCCTAACCAATTATAACAACCAATATAGCAAGTTGTAACAACGTTCTAATACGTCATAAATACATTAATCCAAGATGTAACAACTTTATTACAAGTTGTAACAAGCGGAAAATAGAGACAGTTACGGTTTGTGTTTCCAGGGTAGACTGTATGAAGGGTTACATAGGCAGATGACGAGTCACATATGATGGGGCTGAAGATATAAAGACCAAACCACACATCAGAGGATTGATAGACGACGACGTTTCGGTCCGTCGTGGACCATTATCAAGTCGTGAGACTTTATCGTGGTCCAGGACGGACCGAAACGTCGTCGGTTTCTCCAACTTTGTGATGTGTGGTTTAGTCATCAAGGGTTACATAGTGTGTGGTGTGTGTCAAGGTGTATGTGTTACATAGTGTGTGTGTGTCAAGGTGTATGTGTTACATAGTGTGTGTGTGTGTGTCAAGGTGTATGTGTTACATAGTGTGTGGTGTGTGTCAAGGTGTATGTGTTACATAGTGTGTGTGTGTCAAGGTGTATGTGTTACATAGTGTGTGGTGTGTCAAGAGCTAGTTCTGTAGTCTAGCTACCCTAGCTATATGTGCTACTAAATGTGCTATAGTCTAGCTAAATGTGCTATAGTCTAGCAACATGTGCTACTAAAGGCCCGATATCTCTAAGAATGGTTAGTCATACGGGGGCGTTTGTTCAGTGGTCTGTACTGACTAACTTGACTACATGTACTCAACTATCACCTTTCTAACAAGGAGTTGAGGGTCTGAGAGTGCCTTGGTTGAGCGTCAGAGAGTGACTCATTTGAGCGTCTGAGAGTGCCTCAGTTGAGCGTCTGAGAGTGCCTCAGTTGAGCGTCTGAGAGTGCCTCAGTTGAGCACCTTCCTCGACCATACGAGGAGCGCCATAACATTACAACTGTGTGAGAGTAACAGGGGGGCCTCCATCATTACAGACCGGTGCCCGAGGTGTCGTGGCGGAGGAAGGACGGGCGGGAGATCAACTCCACACACTTCAGCATCAAGAACTCCGGCAGCACCCTCATCTTCCTCGACACTAAGGTCAGTTCCTCCCCTAGATGCTCCTCTCCTCCTCGCCATAGTTTTTTCCTATGAATATCTCTTTGAATACATTTTGGTCGAGAGAAAGATATTCCGTCGACACCTTCACTCCATTGAAGCCAATGCCCTGCCCTGTACAGGTGGACGACGCAGGGGTGTACGAATGCGCGGCCACCAACGGCGTCGGTCGGGTCAAGTCTTCAGCGATGACGGTGACGGTGGTCCAGGTCCCCACCTTCGTCAGGAAGATGGCGTCGCTGACGGTGGAGGAAGGCGCCACTATCGACTTTCACTGCGAAGTTGAGGCCAGCGACAACGTCACTTTGTTGTGGCTGTATAACGGTCGCCCGCTTCCCCTTACCGGTGAGCAACCGCCCTGGTGACGGCACCCCAAGTCTTCCCTACCGTTTGTGTACTGGTGGATGGCCTGTGAGTGTACTGGTGGATGGTCTGTTTGTGTACTGGTGGATGACCTGTTTGTGTACTGATGGATGAACACCTGTGTTATGAGTGAAACAAAGTGAGGTGTATGTGTAAAAGATGAGTCTGTTGATCACCTGTCAACCCCCTCTGTCATCGTCAGGTGGTTCTGTCCGGCGGACAGTTGACGGGAGCCGGCTGACCCTCACAGACGTCACCACCAACGACATGGGCAACTACGCCTGCAACGCGACCACAGCCACGGCCTCCGTCTACGACCAGGCTACGCTCACCGTCATGCGTGAGTATTTTTTTTATTAATCCATGAGGTACATCTGCATTTGTGCAGCTACCCTAGACTATGTGAAGTGGAGTACAGTGTGTCAAGAAAAGCTAACTAGGTGATGCTAAAAAGTCCCCATCTCGCAGGATGGTTAGTCATACAGAGCCATATGTTCAGTAGCCTGCACTGGCAGATTTTGAGTGCAATATGAGGATATCTTCAAGAACACGAGAGTGAATGAAGTAATTACAAAGCTCCAGGTACCTCATGCCAACTGGTCTGAAAGATCTAATAGCTGGGCATTCAAGGATGTAGTGTGGGATATCATGCCGCAGTTCCTGCTCACAGAGTTTGCACCTGGAGTGCTCAGGATTGGGAGATCCGTTACCTGTAGCCACCTGCCACAGGTAACGGTAACCCAACCTGATCCTGGCAACCACTGTGTCGCACAGTGGTTGTAAAGGTTTGTGAGTAAATAAATTGGAGGGGTGACAGGTAAACTTCTAACATGGATGAAAAATTTTCTGACTGATAGAAAAATGAGGGCAGTGATCAGAGGCAATGTATAGGAATGGAGAAATGTCACAAGTGGAGTACCACAGGGTTCAGTTCTTGCACCAGTGATGTTTATTGTCTACATAAATGATCTACCAGTTGGTATACAGAATTATATGAACATGTTTGCTGATGATGCTAAGATAATAGGAAGGATAAGAAACTTAGATGATTGTCATGCCCTTCAAGAAGACATGGACAAAATAAGTACATGGAGCGCCACTTGGCAAATGGAATTTAATGTTAATAAATGTCATGTTATGGAATGTGGAATAGGAGAACATAGACCCCACACAACCTATATATTATGTGAGAAATCTTTAAAGAATTCTGATAAAGAAAGAGATCTAGGGGTGGTTCTAGATAGAAAACTATCACCTGAGGACCACATAAAGAATATTGTGAGAGGAGCCTATGCCACGCTTTCTAACTTCAGAATTGCTTTTAAATACATGGATGGCGATATACTCAAGAAATTGTTCACGACTTTTGTTAGGCCAAAGCTAGAATATGCAGCTGTTGTGTGGTGCCCATATCTTAAGAAGCACATCAGCAAACTGGAAAAGATGCAAAGACATGCTACTAAGTGGCTCCCAGAACTGAAGGGCAAGAGCTACGAGGAGAGGTTAGAGGCATTAAATATGCCAAAACTAGAAGACAGAAGAAAAAGAGGTGATATGATCACTACATACAAAATAGTAACGGGAATTGATAAAATCGATAGGGAAGATTTCCTGAGACCTAGAACTTTAAGAACAAGAGGTCATAGACATAAACTAGCTAAACACAGATGCCGAAGAAATATAAGAAAATTCACTTTCGCAAACAGAGTGGTAGACGGTTGGAACAAGTGAGAAGGTGGTGGAGGCCAAGACCGTCAGTAGTTTCAAAGCGTTATATGACAAAGAGTGCTGGGAAGACGGGACACCACGAGCGTAGCTCTCATCCTGTAACTACACTTAGGTAATTACAGTCTGGTGGACGTTTTGTGCTGTCCATAGATATAGGTTTCAGATCTGAACAAATCATAGCTTTTAATACTAGTACTTTCAAGTCGTTGGGAGTCAGTAATTTCTTTCCTATCAGACCTGAGTGTTTGAACCAATACAGTTTTGACAGCAGAGATGGGGATACCTAGATCTAATTCAACTTTATCTTTGTTACACGCTAATTTGGCTGCAATGTCTGTCTCATTATGATGGGTTGCGAACGTTGCATTTCGTTCGTGTGCGTTACCTAAGGCCAAATATTTTCGTACTAGACAATGGAAGCGGCTGGCGAAAATGACGTACTGTCCCGTTTTCTGTTTTGGGTCCTCTGGTAGGTTAGGTTAAGGGAGATCTTTAGTACGTCATTTTCTTGACGTTTGGGGAAGCTTAGGAGGACGGGGTTGGAATATCAAGCCGTCTTGGGCCTTGTTAAAGGTGTACACGCAGGCCAGTGCAGCCTCTTACTTTGAATCTGTCTTTCATTTGTTTAATATTAGCGTATAAACTGTTTCAGGTATTAATACATGCTCCTCAAATTTCTGTAATTTATTTTAAATAAATTCTGTTGGATGTAGATTGTAATTAATGTTCAATATGTTTCATTTAATGCTTCATTACTATACCTGTTTCATTTCAAATAATAATAATTATAATAATTTATATAGGAGAAGTACATACATAGTTACAGCGTTACAGTACAAACATTCTGTTAGATTTAAAGATGGAGGTAGTACATACAATACCTAAAGCCACTAGTACGCAGAGCTTTTCAGGCAAAATATTTGATTGTCTCGTCTAAAATTTATCCCCTAAAGTTTTAAGTTTGATTACGTAGCCTATCTTGCTGCAACGTTTAGAGGTGATCTCTGGTGTTCAGTAGTCAAGGTATATCTTCACTCTGCATTATCTAATGTTTTATTCAATGCAATTATATGTCCTAATCCCAGTTCCTTGTTTCAGTGGCCTTGGTTTAGTTGAATGTTGCAGAACAAATCTCTATCATTTTATTTACCTTGTATTTTAATATATATATATATATACTATATATATATATATATATATATATATATAATATAATATCTATATATATTTCTATATTAGTTTCTATTATATATATATATATATATATATATATATATATATATATATATATATATATATATATATGTATATATATATATACAGTATATATATATATATATATATATATATATATATATATATATATATATATATATATATATATATATATATATTAGTTCTTGTTAATGAATTTGATGACTACCTTCAACTGTATCCATCCCTTGTTCTGGCGACACGCTGGGAGCTAGTTATAGTTAGTTATAGTTAGTTATAGTTAGCTATTGGTAGTTATAGCGGGGGAGAATAGCCAATATTATTCGACATACATTATATACTTAGAATTATTATATTCAGTATACAGTTCGATCATTGATGTAATATGGGACTCAATATTCTCATCCTTCATCAGATAGGATGAAGGATACATCCGAAAATTTGGGCTTTTAATATACTTACACATTAGCTCAGGGAGTTTTTCCTTCACCTTCATTCAAGCACTACAGAATCGTAGTATGTTTCTTCACAATAGACATTCTCATACATTCTCAATAGACAAAAACATCAGAGTCAACTTCTTAGTCGTATTTGAATCTGTAGACATAATACGAACTTATTGTCCTCTGATTCCCAGTACAAGACCCAGTTCCTATAGACTTGCTTCAAATGCAAGGGGGGGGGGGTCTATAGCATTTTTTAATCCACTCACTGCTTTCATGATAGGGGGGACCCTTGACAAGCCGCTGGCTTCTTGTCCTCGTCGAGACCACTAGTGTTAGTGGCCCTCAGGTAAATTCCTGTAAATGTACACGTTCATCTCTGGACGTAATATGACAATGGACTTATATACATGGCCAAAGGAGGTTGATTCGTATTTGTTTTCATAGAAATAATACAATTGTGCATTTTAACTTGAAGTATTAGAAATATCATTTTAATAAATATTTAAAAGGACCAAATATATATCAAAATAAAATTTAGTCGTATAATTCTGTTTCTTTGATGTAATTAAATTTGTACTCGATTTTATATATCTGAACACCATCATAACACATAGCAGTAAGAATAAAGTCATTAATATATTAACTATTTGCAGACGACGAGTCACAATAACGTGGCTGAAGATATAATGACCAAACCACACACCAGAAGCTGAAGAGACGACGACGTTTCGGTCCGTCCTGGACCATTATCACAATCGAGTAGATAAAAGTTATAAATAGCTGCCTCGTATGGTCCAATAGTCCTTCTGCAGTTACCTTCATTCTTATGTTCTTATGGTCCAGGACGGACCGAAACGTCGTCATCTTTTCATCATCTGGTATGCCGTTTGGTCATCATATTAACTATTTGTGTATCATTATGTATCATTTGTGTATATCTGACGCAGCTGCTGGGGGCTTCTCGAGGACACGGGGCGGGGCGTCCTGTGAGGGCCTGACGGAACTGCGAGCAGAAGTCGCACAGCTGAAAGACACCCTCCAGGCGATATACTCCGTGGTCAAGGAGCAGCAGGAGCTGGCACAGGGCACCCGGGACATCTTGACCAAGGTGGCAGACAAGCTCCAGGTCCCCGTCACCAGGACAGACGGTGCCTCGGAGGGTGGTGATAACGCGGCCACTACGGAGGAAGGAGAAGGGGAGGGAGTTGAACCACCACTTGAGGTGGAGGATCAGACAGCCACTACACTCACCCCTTAGACTCGCGTGTCTACACTCCATACTAAAATATCTTAGGTTATTGTTGATAGTTTGCGCATGTTTTTAAAGTGTGTGTGTGCGTGTGTGCGTGTGTGGGTGTGTGTGTGTGTGTGTGTGTGTGTGTGTGTGTGTGTGTGTGTGTGTGTGTGTGTGTGTGTGTGTGTGTGTGTGTGTGTGTGTAATTACCTAAGTGTAGTTACAGGATGAGAGCTACGCTCGTGGTGTCCCGTCTTCCCAGCACTCTTTGTCATATAACAATAATAGGAGCTGCCTCGTATGGGCCAACAGGCAACAGGCAGTGTGTGTGTGTGTGTGTGTGTGTGTGTGTGTGTGTGTGTGTTGTATGTCCATAAAGCCTTGGGTATAGGCACGCCACTAGCAGAAAATGTGTGCACTATTCAAATTACAAGCGGCATTTTTTGGGGTAATATAAAATTCATGGAATTTTAGATTTAAGTAGGGCCCACTTGATGAGTGTATAAATGGCCTAAGCAACTACAGCCAATTAATACACGCATCAACGGCCCTTTAGGTTAAGATGTGACCACGGCCAAGGGTAGGCCTACTCAACACAACTGGCGGTCAACAGTGAGTTTGCAAGCACCACTACCGCCAAGCCTGTATCTTTGCTGCAACTTAGGGCATTCAGTGCAATACAAGTTATCAATAAATTCACGAATATATATTTGTGTTTTAGTGCTTCCTAAACTTTATTAATGGGCCTTATGCAGACAATTCCTTCCCCTTATTACTCCAACTTCCCCAAGAGTGTAACACTTATATGCTGTGTTTACTGTATTAACCTGCAATGTAAAATGTGATTTGTGCGCCCCTTGAGGGACTTGGAGTAGAGGGGGGTAGAAATAGCCTAAGCTACTCTATCCCTTTGAGATGTATCCTATTGTCTCAATAAACGTACTTGAACTTCTTATTGAACGGAGTCAACTTTATGTTGATATAAATAAAATATTTGTTTACAACCTCAATATTCAAACATACATAAATATCTGTAATAAATATAATAAATTCTATGTAAATAAGAAATAACTGGAAAATATAGATGTAGCCTATTATATAAGTGAAACTACTTGCACACGGCTTTGTATATAAACCAATTAATATCGTTTAATATAATGTCATTGACGGCGTAAGAACATTTACTACTGCACACACAAGTTAACCAGATTTTAATTATAACAGTAGCAATTGTTTTCAATTTATGAAATACTGTATTAGGCTGAGTATAACATTGAATTTTGGAGATTTGCATCGTCCTTCGACACACTACTGGCTCAAGAGCATCAGAGCGGCTGTGGCCAGCTTTTACCAAGACCATTTGGGACTGGCACAACGAGGCCAGCAATTGGTTGGTGTTGGAGCAGCACGAGCCCGCAAGCGACCAATCAGGGATCAGCGCATCGCTAATGTTTCAGTACTAATCTTGACCATTGGGCTTGTGTGCGCGTAGTTTGTTGCGAGCAGCCACCGCGGTCGGACGTACTCCTCACCTCTCCTGATGGCAAGCTGTCATACAGCTGCTGGCACAACTAGGCAGGGCAATTGTCAAATTGCCTTGCAGCCATTGACAAGGCAACATCAATGGGACCAGTAGACGTACATGTGCATGGTAACGAAGCCACGGTAATCGTGGGAAACAAAGCTGATCTACTGAAGATCCTGGATCTAGAACACAGGGTCCCTCTAGTGAAGAACATTTCACCGATTCCTCCCAGACAAATCACGGCTGGGAGAACGATATTTGTGAATAGGCTGAACCGCCGGCTCGGCGGTTCAGCCCCCAAAACCATGGTGAAACAAGTGAACATGGAAAACCCGAATATGAAAGAGACAGCAGTCAACTCATCAGGAACAACGACACCACTCGATACACGATGAAGATGACCTTAGAAACGAAAGAAAAAGCACAGGAAGCAGCCAAGAAATGTTTCAAGTGCTTTGGTATCACCTCTCCGAAGGAGGTTATCGACATGGAGAAGGTCTACAGTGTTAGACAGTGCTTTAGTTATGAACACTTCTCAAACAAGTGCCCAGAGCAAACGGCTAAGTGCAGCTCTTGTTCGGGCACCCACAACTTCAAGGAATGCACAGCAACTACCAAGAAATGCGCGAACTGTGGAGAACAATACGCCGCCACCTCCTACCTCTTGTTGAAAGGAGGGACTCAAAAAACTAACATAAATGGCTACCACTCCACCGACCACCAAAAGACAAGACGACACGCCCTTGAACCTTGGACCTGCCCAGTTCCCAAGCCTCCCTTCAACTGATAGCAAACGGCATCATACCAGTTCAACTGCCAGCGACAAACGACACAACCTCAGCTACCCAGACCGACAGAGAGCAGTCGACGACGGCTCACCCAGCGGCCAAGACCGAAGCGGACACCCAGACGGACGCTCCACTGACGACTGCGACTGAATACACCCAGACGACGCTGACAGCTACTCACAGCAAGAATACTGGCGACACCGGACAATGAAGGACACGCATCCTCAGACGAACATATAGACGTAGAAAATACCGCCGGCGAAGAAGACAATGGCCCTGGCGAGGAAATCCCGACACCTCGACGGCTACACACCATGCTCCTACACTGTATGCCAGGACAAGATTCGCCTAGTATTCTGGACAAGGAAGCAGGCACAACCACAACTTTCACACACGGCCGGTCGTGCACCATCAACGTACCGCCGGAAATGGAGCTGGACGCAGCGAAAACAATCCCTATTACTCTGCCTCCTTACACCCAAATATGGACACGAAATCAAAACAAAAATTCGAAGAACAAGAAAAAATAAATACCTCGAAAGCCCCTAGAGACAGTGATGCAGTAGTGGTGGAACGCTAGACAAGAACACTGGATGCTGCTTGGTCCTCTTGTGGAAGGAAGCTCTTCCGAAGCTCTCCGGGTGCTTCGCCCAACCACTTGGGCTGGACAGTCTCGCTCCATTCTGGTCGGCGTTCAATTCCCGACCGTCCAATTGGTTGGGCACCATTCCTTTTCTCCGTCCCATCCCAAATTTTTATCCTAATCCCTTCCAAGTGCTATATAGTTGTAATAGTTTGGCGCTTTCGCCTGATAATTCCTTCCTTCCCTCCTGGGTGCTTTGAGAGGTGCGATAGATTCCAATACAATTACTCCATAAATTCTCGCCCTGTTGCTAGCTCTACTCTCTACGACTACGAAACTACCTGTATAATCGATTGATTGTGTGCGTATTACGGGCTCACTATAGCCCGTGCTACATGAACAGTCCGTTCAGAGTAGCTAAATCTAAAACAACAACATTGTGTGCGCTCAGTCAGGGAAGGGCAGCCGAGAAGAGAGGGCGCGTGTACAGGAGCTGCTGCCTGAGCACTGTTGCTGTACCCAGGGAACTCTGGATGGTGGCCAATACGAGCCCCGTGTGGGCGGTGGCTAGTGACCTCACCTGCCAAGGTAGTCAAGGAGAGCACAGTAGTGAGCACGGACCGGTTTGTCTGGCGTCGCCACGCGCCCCAGGCCCGCACTAGCTGCTCCTCCACCACCACCCTCACTCCATCTCTCCCTCACCCCCCCCCTCACCTCTTCCTCCACCACCACCCTTACCCCATCCTTCTCTTCCTCCCGGTCTCTGGGAGCCGGTCGGCCGAGCGGACAGCACGCTGGACTTGTGATCCTGTGGTCCTGGGTTCAATCCCAGGCGCCGGCGAGAAACAATGGGCAGAGTTTCTTTCACCCTATGCCCCTGTTACCTAGCAGTAAAATAGGTACCTGGGTGTTAGTCAGCTGTCACGGGCTGCTTCCTGGGGGTGGAGGCCTGGTCGAGGACCGGGCCGCGGGGACACTAAAAAGCCCCGAAACCATCTCAAAATAACCTCCCGCCACACATTTGCGTCTCGGCAGTTGTTGTTATAGATTAAGCCACCGGGAACAAAAAGTTCTTTCCATCACACAGCCCCGCTCCTGTGCCAGGTAAGTCCACTACGGGCTCACCATAGCCCGTGCTACTTGGAACTTGTTCCGAGTAGCTGAATCTATAACAACAAAAAGTTCCAAGCAGCACGGGCTATGGTGAGCCCGTAGTGGACTTACCTGGCACAGCAGAGGGGATGTAACTTTTTTTTGCGTCTCTGCCCAACCCATTCTTCATCTACCTAGTCATCATCAGTCACCTTAGTGATTCGTACCCATGATTGTACTAACCTAATATAACTTCCAAACTTTGTTTTCTTCTTGTTCTTTTCGCCACCTGATCAAACACACTTACGTAAGACCAAGAAAAAAGGCCAAATAGGCAGTAAGCCGAACATCTTAAACCCCTGACACCCGGAGTAAACTGGTGTGGGGGGGGGGGAAATAGTAGTTAGTAACAGTTGATTGACAATTGAGAGACGGGCCGAAAGAGCAGAGCTCAACCCCCGCAAGCATAACTAGGTGAATACAATGCACACCTCATTCCAAGGCCCTAAATGCATGCTGTGCGGGGGATAAACACATTGCAATATTCCCACAGTATCCTAAACGGAAAGGAAGAAGTTGAGGACCAAGCCAGACAAGCCAACACAGCCAAACAACCTCACCACCTGACGAGTTCACCAGCATTCCCAGCCCTTCCTGGCCATGCCATCATCAACAAATTAAATAAAATAAAAATACAAAAAACAGCAAAGAGAAACCCACAAGAGCCTAATCCCTGCTTTGCACCCCCCCCTACCCCCAACTCACCCAGCAGTCAGTCCAACAATGCCTCAAACGACATCCAGAACTACTACCAACTGAATTCAAATGCAAGTACTAATTGCAATTGCAGAAAAAGTCGCTTAAAATGACCACATTATATTTATTCAGACCATTAACAGTCTGGTAACAGCCTACCAGTTATTAGCACCTCTGATGATATAATATTGATATCTACAGTACAGAAGCATCACCAACGAGCAGGTATTCCCGGTTCTTTAACCTGCGGCAATCAAAATGGCCGACCCAGTACAATCCACATCAAACACAACAATTGAACTCACAGACCCTAAAGAAGAACTACGATCAGTTCAGGATCTCTCTCCAAGTTCAAGTATGTTTATTGAGACAAGAAAAAAATACATCTCAAAGGGATAGAGTGGCTTAGGCTATTTCTACCCCCCCCCCCGATCTCTCCCCCCTTCCCCACTCTCCACAGAACAGACAGGAGCAAGCCTATCCACCTCAATTGTTGACGATAAAAAACATTATCTGCAATGTTGTTGTTTTAGATTCAGTTACTCGGAACAAAAAGTTGCAAGTAGCACGGGCTATGGCGAGCCCGTAGTGGACTTATCTGGCACAGGAGCGGGGCTGTAACTGGAGATATTATCTGCAAGTCTACATCAAAATTAGTAGCTCCACCTGCTCGTCCGCCTACTCATCCTCGTCAGGTGAAGCACTTAATTTGGAGCTGGAGAAGTGTCTTGGCATTTACTGCTACCCTTGGATAAACTTGGTAAGAAATGTAGATGTTTATCTCTCAAAATGTTTGATAATATGTTTATTGTTTGTGATGTGTGTATATGTATGTATTAACACGATGTACTGAACGGGGTGAGAATAGCTTGAGCTACCTCATCCCTTTGTGTGTATTTTACCTTAATAAACTTATTTCAATTTCAATTTCTTGGATAAACTATTCGATAGGTTTTTAGTACCGTACTATGGGTGAAATGGGATGTACTAGTTTATATCCTACATTGTAATTGAGTTTTAAACTGCTGTTCCTTGTATGAGTTACATTTAAAAATTTTACAGAAATGATCGTGATTAATAATTTACAATTTGTTCAATATTTGACAGGTCTCTATGAGCCCTGTCATGTCTGGTTTATAGTGATGTTAGTCCTATGGCTCTCAACCGGTCTTTTTATGAGAGTTGATTTACTTCTGGGATAACTTTTATAGCGTCTGTCATTGATGTACATAAAAAAGGGGTTAGCCCCTCCAGGGGAACCTTGCGGTACCCCACTCATCATTTTCCCAGTCAGACTCATTTCCATGTAGGACGACCCTTTGCTTTCTTTGTTTCATACTTTCCAATATATTTTTTTTTTTTTTTGAGATATATACAAGAGTTGTTACATTCTTGTACAGCCACTAGTACGCGTAGCGTTTCGGGCAAGTCCTTAATCCTATGGTCCCTGGAATACGATCCCCTGCCGCGAAGAATCGTTTTTTCATCCAAGTACACATTTTACTGTTGCGTTAAACAGAGGCTACAGTTAAGGAATTGCGCCCAGTAAATCCTCCCCGGCCAGGATACGAACCCATGACATAGCGCTCGCGGAACGCCAGGCGAGTGTCTTACCACTACACCACGGAGACTGCTGCTTGTTCTGCGTGTTTGCATTTTCCTTGCCGGTCTTACATGTGGTACCTTATCAAAAGTTTCAGAAACGTCCATTTCCGCTGAATTCAAATCAATTATAATGATAATGATATTGAGAAACTTACTACAATGCCGTAGTGCTTGAATGAATGTGAAGGAAAGACCCAATATATGTGTAAGTGTATTAAAAAGCATTGTATTGTACCTTGAACGCTGTATACAGTACTTTGAGGAAGGATGAAGGTTGCAGCTGAAAAAATCCACAAGACATGATGGAATACATCACACAGAAGTGCAAGGAGGCAGCAGAAAAGTTTATCCCGACCCAGAAACGAAATGCAGATGAGAAACCCATGGTTTAATCAGAGATGTAAGCTAGCTAAGCAACTAAGTAAAAGAGCGTGGAGAAACTATAGAAATAACAGGACACTTGAAAGCAGAGAAGGTTTCCAGAGAGTCAGGAATGAATACGTCAGGGTGAGAAGAGAGGCAGAAGGGCAAACGACATAGCAAACGAAGCTAAGACTCAACCCAAACTGCTGCACAGCCACATCAGGAGAAAGACAACAGTGAAGGAACATATAATGAAACTGAGGATAGGGGCAGATAGATTCACTACAAACGACAAAGAAGTGTGCAAGGAACTCGATAAGAAATTCCAGGAAGTCTTCAGATTAGAGCAAGGAGAAGTTCCAGAGATAAGAGAAGGAATAGTTAACCAAGCGCCACTAGAGGAATTTGAGATTACTAGTTGGGATGTAAGGAAGCTTTTGTTAGAGTTGTGACAAAGGCCAAAGGCCCGGATGGCATATCACCATGGATACTAAAGGAAGGAGCAGAAGCACTGTGCCTGCCACTCTCCGTGGTGTATAACAAATCACTGGTAACAGGTGAACTGACAAAAAATTGGAAGACGGCAAACGTAGTCCCGAAGTACAAGAAGGGGGATAGACAGGAGGCACTGAACTATAGGCCAGTGTCCCTAACTTGCATACCATGCAAGCTAATGGAGAAAATTGTGCGAAAAAAGCTAGTGGAACATCTGGAGCGAAGGAACTTTGTGACACAACACCAACATGGTTTCAGGGATGGCAAGTCATGCCTCACAGGATTAATTGAATTCTATGATCAGGCAACAAGAATCAGACAAGAAAGAGAGGGGTGGGCAGACTGCATATTTTTGGATTGCGAGAAAGCCTTTGACACAGTGTCACACCAGAGACTAGTGCGAAAGCTGGAGATGCAGGCAGGAGTGAAAGGGAAAGTACTCCATTGGGTAAGGGAGTACCTAAGTAACAGAAGACAGCGAGTCACTGTGAGGGGTGAGGTCTCAGATTGGCGAGACGTCACCAGCGGGGTCCCGCAGGGTTCAGTCCTTGGACCCATACTGTTTCTTATATATGTAAATGATCTTCCAGATGGTATAGAATCATTCCTCTCATTGTTTGCTGATGATGCAAAAATTATGAGAAGGATTAAGACAGAGGAAGACAGCATGAGGCTACAAGATGATCTAGATTCAGGTATTTAGTAAACATAGTAAAATTCAATCAAGTTTGAATTTGGCGGGGGGCGACTTGCCTGGCCACCTGTGGGCGGGTGCCTGAAACTTCCATGTCAACAGTGAGCTGCCAGCTGAGCGCGGGGAAGGAGGTGGCTTGCCATGCCCCGCTAATTACCCCTCTACGCTAACAACCCCCAAACCCCGTAACAATGTGGGTCAAACCAGAGGAAGTCCTCGTGGCCGGCGGGTTCTGGTGTGTATCTGATGGAGAGGTGTCACTGGCAAGGGAAGATTTCCGGGCCTGTGTTTTTGTTTTGTTTTGATTGTTTTTGTTATGGCTGGCGTACGTCACCAAGTGGGAGGAACCTCTGCTTCCACGGCTGGAACGTATCACGTATTTGTGTCTTGTTTCTTTGTTATACGCTGTTTAATACCTGTCCAGATCACGACTCCTTTAATGTCTTGACAATTATACGTACATGTATTTGTGTTGTACAAAATATATACATTAAGCAGGCCCTAAGGCAATAAAAGTTGTGTGGATATTTGTATGTTAAAATACTTCAAATTGTTTAATTCTAGTCAAGTGTTGGTATTTAAGCACAGCGGGCCACTTTGCCATACCTTTTTTTCTTAAAACTTGACAGAGTTTTTCTTAGAACTTGACAAAACTTGCACAATTCTAGTTGCATTAAAATTAGGTAATTGAGTTCAGAAGATTGGAGCTTTTCTTTAATATTTGGTCTTATAATCCTGGCCCAAAAAAATGAACAGAATATTTTAGGATCAAATTTCAGAGATCTTGGCAATAAAAGAAGCCGTGGGGGAGGATGTAAACAAAATGTATAATGGTATTTCTTCCGACAGTCTCAACACTTGCCTGTAGGTTTTTATTATGACATATTTTTGCCTAGCAATGGAGGACCAGAATGTGAGGCAGAGGATTGTGTTCATTTATAATAATAATAATAATAATAATTTATTTAGGAACGGTACATACATAGTTGCAGCGTTACAGTACAAACATTGTTAGATTTAAAAATAGAGGTAGTACATACAATACCTAAAGCTACTAGTACACATAGCATTTCGGGCAATGTTTATTTAGTAAATAAAACTACTGATATCTTAAGTGGGTCTACCAAGATAACAAGGTACTGCAGGTTTAGTCGCCGCTCACTGGACACGCAAGGTTATCGACATCCTTGGCATATTAAAAATATGATAAATTAAATTAAGTTTATTGTACGAGTTATTGTGTGAATTGAAATAGGCGACATTGTTCTATAAAATGGCACATGCTGCATATGTAATAACCATAGAGATATTAATGTTAAACTGATAGCATTCAGAGTTTTGTTGTGTGTGAGCACCCTGGCTCTGGTCTCTATACAGATGTGTATTTTACCCATTTCCAACATACAGGTAATGTGGGTCAATACACAGTGGGTGGGTCAGGTGGAAATACAAACATGTGTAGTAAAGGTGGAAGTATAAACATGTTTATAATGTTAAACAAAATGATGGGTGTCAATCAAAATTTAGTAAAACTGTTATTAAACATCTTGTAATATTTATTGTTCAGATACACACACACATGTAAATACTGTACAGATGCACAGGTAAATGCACAGTTCCACATTATAATGGATTAAGGAACTAAGCCAACTTGGAAGAGGTATAGACTGGGCAGACCTCAACATGTTGAGTGAGTGGACTCTTCTTGAGAGTTGACATGTTTCCAGAAACACATAATATGGCACTATAATAACTACCATTCCACAACATCTTTCCTGCGACCTGATTGTATAAATGTTGGCTTCAGGGCACAATTAGTTATTCGATCACAAGCTCTTCAATTAGGAACACTGAGGCCAATATAGCTGTGCTTCCATATTCCTTATCTGGTAACACTTGCGTCTCACCATGGCATATAACAGCCCATCCTCAGGGTAAAGTGATTACATAGACACATCAGACCCACTCTCACACCACCTGGATAGTTATCAAGATAATTGTGAGGATAAAGCATATTTCAGTTCCAATAATAGTCTATTTGTAAAATGGTAAGTGAACTCTTGTCCTAAACAAAGAATATTCTCAAATTATAACTGTATTGTATTAAATCAATGGTTAAAATATAAAAAGTGTATGGTAAATTCATTTTATTTGTTACATCCTCATCCTAAGTTTTCATTAGCTTTATGTTAACAAAGGTACACACAAATACTTTTTATGACCAAGTCTAAACCAAAGGTGTATTTAGTGTGTTAGAGTACACTATATACACTAGGAGTAAATTTTTTTCTTGGGCTGTGTTGTGTAAAAGTTATTCTGTATTTAATTTACATCTGACATGTACTATTAATATATGTATGGAATTTCAGGGACACAGAGGTGGCCAACACATATTTCCTCCTTCAACAACGAAAGGGCTCGGGGAACGCAGCATCGAGAGGTTTTGCTGGATTGCTTGTGGGAACACTCGACTCGGTGTTCGATACTAAGCCACCACCATATCGAATTTTGCATCAGACATCGTCTTCAGAAATATACTATAGTAAATATTTCAAACAATAGTTTTCTTTACAGTTTCAACCAATTGGTAAGTACTTAAACAGAAGATGCAACATATTATCAGGCGTGTTACTGAATAGTTTGTAAGTGCTGCTAAAACTTAGAACACACACAAAAACAAAATTGTTATAGTAGTTTGATAATGGTTATGATTTGTAATTACTGTATTGTATAATAATGTTTTAATTACTGTTATCAGTTTTTGAAAGTCACAACTGGAATTATTTTTTTGAGTTAATGGTGCTGTATTCTTAAACTCAGAGCAGTACTGTATGTTGGTTTCATTTAAGGAAACCATAAAATAAATCCGACTCCTTATTTTTGTAGTTATAGCTGTGTCTTTGAAGAAGGATGAAATCGACGAGAACTGGGTTTGGTTGGAACGTAATCTCATGAGCATCTTGGCCACATTTGACAAGGACGAAGATGTAACCGATTTTGTTCGGTGCAAAATCGAGTCTCTTGTTGCAAACTCAATTGTGTTGGACCCGCACAATACCCCTGGTAATTATACCCTTCATTGTTACATTTTAATATATATGTACCAGTGTAGCAAACATGGGCACAGTGGTAATCTCATCAGATATAAAACCAATAGATACCAAAGCTACATTTTGACTACCCCTTGGTAGTACATATCAGTAAATACCTTGCATTGATTTCAAGCTAAGAATTGCGCTAATAAAGAAGGATGTTTCTTAGTGGCATATTTGCTAAACGTTAAATAGTATTAGGTCAGTATTGAAAAAGCACACATGGCTTCTGCTGGATGAGGAAGTTATGCACTGTATTTGAGTCTTTTTTTTCTCTTATTTTCAGATCCAGATTCTGATACCTTTAAAGCAATTTCTTTCAAGTTTAAGAAATTGTTTAATATGCCTGAAGGCGAGAAGCTTGTTAATTACTATTCGTGCAGGTTGGTAATACAGTATATCCAAGTATTGTATATGTGTAGTGGTTGCAGAGTTGGTGGAAGTGGTTGTAGGGTGGTTGGTGGTGATGGCTGTAGGGTTGTTGGTGGTGATGGCTGTAGGGTTGTTGGTGGTGATGGCTGTAGGGTTGTTGGTGGTGATGGCTGTAGGGTTGTTGGTGGTGATGGCTGTAGGGTGGTTGGTGGTGATGGCTGTAGGGTGGTTGGTGGTGATGGCTGTAGGGTTGTTGGTGGAGGTTGTAATATATATAATTACCATTTATTATATTATCCCCATTTATGGGAGTCCCATAGTTGAATTATTTTTATCCTGGTTGTGGCCTCTCAATGTTAGGAAGGTGGGAAATGGGCCATTAATAATGAATGAACAGTAATATTTGCAGAATGGACGAAGGCTAAATACTGCCCCTCACCATTATTATCTCTCCAATATTCATCACCACCATTATTACCTCATTTCCCATTTTCATTGTGTTTCATTCCGAGTCTAAACTTGAAGGTGTCATTGCATATATAGCACATTGTGTATGGAAATACTCTAGCAGTAGCAGTCTCCGTGGTGCAGTGGTAAGACACTCGCCTGGCGTTCCGCGAGCGCTATGTCATGGGTTCGTATCCTGGCCGGGGAGGATTTACTGGGCGCAATTCCTTAACTGTAGCCTCTGTTTAACGCAACAGTAAAATGTGTACTTGGATGAAAAAACGATTCTTCGCGGCAGGGGATCGTATTCCAGGGACCATAGGATTAAGGACTTTCCCAAAACGCTACGCGTACTAGTGGCTGTACAAGAATGTAACAACTCTTGTATATATCTCAAAAAAAAAAAAAAATAATACTCTAATGTCCTGTATATTTTCCAATCTGGCATTGATTAGGTCTAACAAATACCAGATAATATAATTTTACTGTCTATTGGGAGCATTCTTAGCAAAGATAATTTAATGAATGAATGATTGGTAAAGTATTTTGGAGAGAGATTATCTTCTACAGGGCATGCATTATGTAAAGAATTGTCACCTAATCAAGTTTGTTGATAAAGGTAACTTTTGTGTACTGTACATCTGTGGTTATTTTTTTTTCTTAAAGATACAAGTTTTCTTATTTGGTTTGAATCTTACTAACACAAGAAGTGGTAAATATGGTATTCAATATCATACTGTATATATTTTTAGTGTACATCAAGTTCCTTGTTTAATAAGTAAATGAAAAAATCTTAAGTAAATATTTCAATTTGTAAATGTGATGAGCATTAGCGTTTACTTGTTGCAGTTACTGGCACAACCGTCTACCGAGACAAGGCTGGCTGTACCTGAGTGTCAACTACCTCTGCTTCTATTCCTTCCTCCTGGGTAAAGAGACTCGCGTCATCGTCCGTTGGCGGGACGTAACATTGCTCGACTGTACGAATGCACTCATCTTTCCCGACAGTATAAGAGTGTCCACTAGAGATCACGAGGTACCTCCCCTTATACAAGTATCTACCCGTACATTGTTTATTTCTTCTTGTCTTGTTATTAAAGTTTGGACTACTGAACTGTGTTTCTTGCTCATATGGAGGAGACAGTCCTAGCTACTTGAGAAACATTGGTTATGGTCAAATTACTTATGTAGTTTCTAGGTACAGTACTGGCAACGTAGTGACATTACTTATCCCTGCACTTTACATACGCAGGGGGAAGTGTGTGCACATTTACTTACAATATATTCCACAAATCCTTTAATTTTTCAATGTACATAACATTCCACTTGTACCCAGCATGTTTGACATACACAACACACTACAATTCTCTATACTCTTCCTTTTTCACCCGCCTATTGTTATATGAAAAATGCTAATTTCTGAATGAATATTTGGGAAGTACTGTAGCCAAAGTTTTAGTGCACTCTATCTTGCAATAGGTGTAATATAAAACTAAAGCCACAACTTACATCTTACTAAAAATATATATATTTATATATTTGCAGCATTATTTCTCAATGTTGCTAAGGAAGAAGGAAACGTACGAACTGATGGAGCAACTTGCCAATATGGCTATGAAACAGTAAGTATTATCCCTGTCTAAATGATTTTGTTTTTGTATATCTTGGCATCATCTTGCATCACTCACCAGAGTGAATGTATAAACTGGGTTGGAAGGTGCATCTTGATAAAATTTTGTAGCTTTCAGGTATACAGTACTGTATTACACTGCTATTTGTCTGGTATGAAATTTTGAATGTAGAGTATCTGGGGTTTGGACGCTTTCATATGTTTACATATTTGTTAATAATAATAATAATAATGAAAATTATCATTATTATTATTAATCCAATAATGTGTGTATAGAGAATTTAAGAGTAATGCACAATTGTAGGGATAGGAATTACACATACTAATGAAGCCACTATTACGCAAAGTGTTTCATGCAACTAATGTCCTCTGTCTTTGCAGTAAAGAATAGAACATCCTACAAGCTGATAATTTTTAAACAGATACCTGTAATTTGTATTTTGTTTTATTTAATGTTACTGCTCCTTGACGACATCAGCATTTAAGTGATTTCAAAGAAACAGAAATGAATCTATTGAAAAGAATGCCAAGTATAAAAAATATCAAAAACATAATTAAATTAAATTCCAAAAAGGCTTTGGAGTACCAAGAATAATTGAAGGTGTGAGCCAGGGAAGACAATATGGTTTTAATCTGGAAGAAGGAAGCTTATAAGACTGGGTAGTTAGAGCCTCCTTTAAGAATAAATTGGAGGCGAGAGGCAACAATGGTTGTTGTATGGTTGTTGGTGCAGAGAAAATGTGAAATAAGGGTAGTATTGCTTGTGTGAGGTAAGATTGATGCCAAGGAGGGGCAGGGGGGGATGAGTAAGAAGCCTGATAATACGTAGATGAGACTAATAATAATAAGGCCAGATATAATGCAGAGGAGGAATCGCATTAACATGATGTATCCTTAAGAAAATCAGTAGGAGCAGTGATGAGGATTCGAACCTATGCTCTGTGTTTGACTTTGGTGGAAGCCTCGGGAACCCTCGTGGATTCGATTGAAACCCAGGTTGCAATCCTTTTACCATTTTGTGGCCCAGTCATCTAAGGCGTTTGCTTGGGAGTTCCCAAAGCAGAGGTTCGAATCCTTATCACAGCTTCTACTGATTTTCTCACCAGATATAATGGCATATGGAGGGGGTGAGCAATGGTCATGTTTTTATGGAGATGAATGTTAAAAATCAAAAAGAAGAGTGTGCAATCCTCTGCTATGTAGGCCATGTGATTTATTTGTCTAATTCTTGAACTCTTGTTACAAAAGGCAGCAAGTGCAAAAAATGGTAGGGAGATGAATTGGTTTTTAATTGCATGAAGAAGAGTTTTCGAAGGAAATGGGTGTATGAAATTTTGTTTTTTATTGTGATAGTGAAAAAATTTGATAGGTAAATTCAATTTTGCTTGTAGTAATTTTGTTACATAATTTTTCAGGCTGATAAATGATGAGGAATTCTCGGAAGATAAAGACTTGCTTACAAAAGTCAGGTAAGGAACAGGCCAGACATTTTTTTTATTATGTTTTTATGAGATAGAATTACTGTATGTTAGAATTTTGTTTCACTCAAATCATTGAAAGCATCTCCGACATGAGGTTCAATTATTTGTTATTATCCTACTAAGTTATTGAGTGATAATTTTTTATTTGAAGTGGGATATATAGTTTTGCCTCAATTACCCAGAACAATTAGTACTTCCAGTTGTCCGGCTAACTGGAAATCCGGATAATCAAATTCATACCCCTAATTTTTCCACATGATCTGTGGGTGAATTTCACAGCAAAATTTTAATTTCAACCAGTATAATGGACATGTACCTGGAGAATGTGTTGCTAAAGAGATTTCACAATCCCCAGGGTTTCCCAGGATCCATTCGACTGAAGCATAATTTTCAATCAATGGGCCAAGCCCCCCCAATGATAAAGTATTGGCCCCCCAATGATACTAATTATTGTATTAGTATTATTGTATTAGTATTATTGTATTAATATTAGTATCATTGGCCCCCCAATGATACTAATATTTCCTTATAAATAAGTTAAGTCAGTAACCCCCATTGACTTTCCTATGCCCAAAGGTAGCTTTTGCTCAAGATTTTCCATGGAATTTCTTGGAAAGTCATTCCAATAAATAATTAATAGATCTAGTCTTGTAACCATATTTAAGATAACATTTCCTGCACCTCCACTGAGCCAGATTCAAATCTTCACTAAATGAAACTTATTGAAACTCGCCATGTCCAGGCAATACGATTTCCTCCAAAATGGGCCGATTAACTTTCCCATGCCTCAAACTGTTTCTTTTCGTTAAGATTTTTTTGTCATTTTTTATCAACCATAAAAGCAGCATTGAAGGCGATACGGGTCAATATTCCCTACTCCTAACTCTTCATTCTCAAATTTAAAATTAGCAGTATGATCTTGTTCAAACCAGGCCCATCCACGTACTCCAATGTCCAAAACTGCAGTTAAATTGCTTGAGACTTTATGGATAATTGGGGTTAATTCCCATTAACTGGTCATGATGTGATGCATTTAATGGGGGTAGAAAACTGGATATTTCTATGTCTGGATATTTCAAGGATTTGAAAAGTAGGGATCCTGATAATGGGGGGGGGGGGCGGGAGGTTCACTGTATAATTTTCCTTACTTTGATTTGCCTTTACCTAGAATTAGCCGAGTTTATAGTGTAGCTTACTCTGTGGACATAGCTTGATAAACGCCCCATTATATTCACTAGGCTATAACTGGAAGTGTATCACATTACAGTACTGTCCTGAAATTTAGTTGTTATTCTAATTGAATTCATTCAAGAGCAGAGTAACTATTCCAGCTTCTGTTCCTTGACATGTTCAAATTGTCTTTCATATGCAGTTTAGCCCGAATGTTCAGGTTTAAGGGAAAGTGACTGATTACCGAGTCACAGTTGGCCTTAGGGTAACGTTGCTGATATTCGTCTGGTCACTGGTGCTCGGCCACCGGCATATCGAGAAACCACAGCATTTGCATTATTAGATAACATGAAACTACAAAAATGCCAGGAACTCACATACTACAGTAACATGTTGAAACATGAACAGTATCTTAAGAATAAACAATTTGAGAACAAAAATTAAAAACATTTTCATGACTAGACATGCTCAGGAAAAAAGTATATATATATATATATATATATATATATATATATATATATATATATATAAATATATAAATATAAATATATATATATATATATATATATATAAAAGTATATATATATATATATATATATATATATATATATATATATATATATATATATATATATATATATATATATATATATATATATATATATATAATACACACACATTCACATACACATACATACATACATACATACGGTATATTTTTTGATTGATCATCAAATAGTTGTCATATTCTTTACTCTCTATGAGATAGGGTAGTTAGAACACCTTTAAGATAAGTTGGTTACATATAGGTAACTATATATAACTTAAAGTGTAGAATGACTTGTGGGTAAATACGTAGAAAGGTGCATATTGGGAAAGACAGTTGTGTTTGGACACCAGTGTCACATAATTGAAGCATTGAGGCTGTCCATTAATGCCAAGTTCCTTTAAAGCAATTGAATATGCTCCTGAAGAAGACCAACACACCATGTTACCTTCTATATTGATATTAATATTAGCTTAATGCTCAGCACAGTAGTTCCAGAGGACTGAGCTTTATTTTATAGTTTAGCAGCTTTATAGTTTTGGGTTCATATCTTAAAGCTTTTCAAAAATTTATTGTAATTTTTTTTATTCAATATAAACTCCAATAATTTTTCTACACCGACGAAGATCGGCAACTTTACCCTAGTCCTTCCTTGACCTGCCTTAAACTTTAGCCCCCCAAAGAGAATTTAGGATTAAAGGAAGCTTGTCTATGTATACTGAGAAGTAAACTGCACCTCTGTGTGTGTACATTGTGAAGAAGTCAGGTGTGGGAGTAAAAAATGTATTTTTAATAATTAAAATATTCACAACAGTAAGAAGGTGCCAAAGAAACCATCATTTTTGAAGCGTGACTTAGATGCCAGAGCCCACTCGGATATGTTCCGCAGCAAATTCAGGTAATATTTTCCACGATTCTCTAACATAGGTCTAATTTTAGCTTGACCCTTTGAATGCCAATAATAAACCTTTAAATTTCTTGTATAACACAAGATAATGTAGAGTAAAATTTTGGTTACAAAAGCACTCAAAGGAAAGCACTTTAAGCATAAAATTGTAGAATGTATATTCACTTGTATTAAAAGAAAATCAAACTTTTCTGAAGGGAGCCCCTACAGCTCCCTGGAGCTGTCAGGCTGATATATGTTATATTAGTCGGGGGCATCAGTCAATTGGAGTTCAGCCACCTGGAGACCACGAGCCAGAACCTGGGCCCCCTCAGAAAGGCAAAGGGAGCAATGGTCTATAGAAACCCCTATGTGGTTGGGGTTTCCCAACCCCCTGTCGATGGCAGACATGGAGTGCCCCTAACCGCATGGGGGTTTCTATAGGTCATTGCACCCTTTGCCTCTCTGAGGGGGCCAGGTTCTGGCTCGTGGTCCCCGGTAGGTTGAACTCCAATTGACTGATGGCCCAGGCTAATATAACACACCTCAGCCTGATAGCTCCAGGGAGCCTCTGGGGCTCACCCAGAAAAAGGCATTTCATTACATTCAATTGAACACTGTGTTTTTGGCAGGAAGCATTCGTGTACTGGGGAATTGTGGCTGACAACAGCCTCTCATATAAGGCTACATTTTTTTTTGACAGTGCTTCAGGAGTTTTTCAAAAAATTAAATACAAATTTTATTTTCATGTATAAAAGAATATGATTGAATTTCACTTATTTCAATTTCTTTCTTTATTAGGCATCCCATACTGTATATACTGTATATACTATAAATCCATATACTGTACATATCTATAATCTTTTTATATCAAAAGTGATTCAACAAGAGGCTCACAACAGTCATTATACAAGGCACTTTATATCTCTGGTGAGTCACACAGTTACTAGTCTTGCTGCACACCCACCCAACTGGGCGGCAGCTATACAGTCATGTGCAGGCTGCACCTACAGTGAGCAAATTTTAAATAATTTGCTAAGATTCCTGGCAACACATCATTATGAATGAAGTACTTACACATTTCTTGGAATCCTTTAATGGTGTTCTCTGAATTCCACGATTTTTTCACATTCTATTATATAATGATACAAAGTATGCGAATAGTTGTGCTGATAGTTTTTCTAGTGACAGGAACTTGCCCAGAGCAGTCTTTAGTGGACACCATATTACTCTATAAAGCACCATAGTGATGACCTTGCACCGAACAACATGGCACACAAGAGAGACTAGATTTGGCCCTGAAAATCTCAGATCTTCAATCACTAAATCAGTCACTGCTCGACATGTACGAGGGCTTCCCCCACAGCATTTATAATTTTAGCTCCTGCCACGCCACCTGATTCTTCACACGTACAACACTATGGAACCACATAGGCCCATAATGGATTACATATTCTTGGATTTTGACCAAGTTAATCATTCTTGCTAGCTAATTCCATAACAAATGAATAACATAAAACATTAACACTCGTCCACAAATTATGTTTACAAATTGAATGCATGTGTTGGAAAGTTTAGACTGGTGCACTCCCAGTGATCATCATGGCCTTGTGCACGCAGTGTGCATTAAGTGTTTAAACAACTGAGAAATGGTCGTTTGATGTAGCTAGACTACTCTGGCACGAAACAAGGCAAAGTATATTAAAATTGGTGCCAAGAAAACAACGCATCCTCCAAATTGACAGTACGGTTTAATACTAAGTGTAATAAGTACAATTCGTGACTGATAGGAATAGTGCATAATTACACTTATTTGTGCCGTTACATTTACCTCTCCATATTCGGAGGATGGGATGCAAGAAAAATCCAAACAATACTAAATGTTCAAACCATGGTGTTGTATGCACAATATATTTTATTTTATTTATTTATGGTCATTCAAAGGGTTGGTAAAAGATGATAACTTTTTGAAGTGTTAATATCATTAAATATCTGAGAGGAATTTTTCATTATATTTAAGCTCGACTATTGCGTGCTTCAGTAACTACCTCTGCATGTTATATTTTGGCCTTGTGTTTATTGTATTTTATAAATCACAACTCAGATTACCGCTGAGAGAGAAACTAGACGGATCAACAAGCTGCTCTCTGTGGGCGCCGTACAAGAAGGCCTACATCAGCGGCACACTCTACATCTCTCTCAACTACATCTGTTTTGATAGCAAGGTAACTCAACAGTTCTTCCGGCCACATAGCTATCCTTTGTGTCATAAGTAGTAGGTAGCCATCAGTCTCGGGAGACCATGGAGTTGCGCGCTGGGTGTCGGTCTGGAGTGGCTTCTCCAGGGCAGGTTGATACGGGGGAGAAGCTGTTACCCATGCAGCAGCCCCCCCCCCCCCTATACTACAAGGGGGGACTCAAATGCCTCATTATTATTAGATAATTGTTGTAACTGCCACAGGTAGTAAGTTGGATCATGTTTTGATGGGGATTAGGGAGAAAGTATTGGTGATGAAAAAGTATTATGCCCGAAACGCTTTGCGTAATAGTGGCTTTAGGCATTGTATGTACTAGCTCTACCTATAAGTCAAACAATCCTTGTAAATATTTATGTACCTTACCTAAATAAAATTGTATTGTATTGTATTGTATAATCCAGTAGGCATGAACAACATTCACCGCAGCCAGCTCCACTCGGCTATCCAGCATCTTGGTATCTGAAGGGTGAAAACAAATTTCGGTTATATTTATGAATGTATCACATACGTTAAAATGTTTCCTTTATATGATCTTTTCTAAAGTTTATTTCATCAAAGGCTAAAAAAAAAAAGATTTCTTATTTTAAATGGATGAATACTTGTTAGAATTAATTGTACCATGTTTAATTTGGCCTGAAGAAATTTTGTAAATATGCTGTTAATTTTGTAATTGCAATATTCATATCATATTTTTTATCTGCATAAATTGTTGCCTAAGCAACTCTCACTTTGCAGTCATTGCAAGCATCAAATATCACAGCAAAAAAATATTTTTTTCCTTCAGTGTCAGGTGGATTATATTACAAGTACAATACAGCATATGCAAAATTATTGACTTACAATTCAGAAAAAATATGTATATGTTTATCACTCAGAATGTTCAGTAATATGCTTATTGTGATGTGTATATATACTATATATGTGAACACGTTGTACTGAACGGGGTGAGAATAGCTTGAGCTACCTCATCCCTTTGTGTGTATTTATACCTGGTTGATACCTGGTTGATGGGGTTCTGGGAGTTCTTCTACTCCCCAAGCCCGGGCCCGAGGCCAGAATTAAGGTTATACCTCAATAACCTTATTTCAATTCAATTCAGAAAATTAGTATTATGCTAGGATGACGTGCATTGAAATAGAAATCAAAATTTTTCTATTGGCATTGTGCAGATACAAATTTACAGTGCAGTATATCATGTACTAATGTTTCTTAATATATATTTCTGTATTTGTAGATTGCCAACCTGGTTAGTGTAGTGTGTCCACTGCGAGTTGTTCAGAGTGTGGAGCGTGTGGACAGCGTCAAGGGCAACGTCATGGTGAAGCACGCTCTCTTCATTTGTACCACGCAGATGAATGCTTGCAACACCTTCCTCTTCATTGATGTTGGGGATCGAGACTTCGTCATCAGTAAACTTTCAGAGATGCTGGGGAAGAGTATACCCACGAAGAAGTAAGCTCGTGTTTCAGCAAATCCTTTTATGGCGAGATATGATGGTTGCATGCCATCTTTGTTGTTGTTGTTTTAGATTCAGCTACTCGGAACTAAACATTTCCTTGTTGCACGGGCTATGGTAAGCCCGTGCATTCCATCTTTGTCCTTATCTTTTGCATATTGTTCATTGATGAAATTGTTTTGAACATGTTATGATTTCTTCTTATTTTTGACTGCTAGGAAGCCATATAACTGGAATTAAACCACATGTTAAACCAGAAGGAGTCCGTAGAAGTTTTGAACAAGATTAAACCTTTAATTTAAAGGAAACTTAAATTTTGGAATGGTATTTAAATATTGAGGTGGAAGGAGGCTGTTGAATTTCTGTATTATCAATGCTTGCAAATGAGATTAAAATGCAGAACTGATAAACAAATTGGCAGTGAATGCAAGGCATTTAGTTTCAGAAGATAGATTATAGTGTGTTGTACAAGGCAGGCTCTTTGTCTAATCATCTTCTCATTGCATTGTGTGATGTACAGTAACTCGTCATGCTCTCTGCCACAATTAACTGCATTTCACGTCCCTCTCACTATTGCTGCTGCTTTCCTCCAGCTTGTTTTTTTCCATAATATTTGTATTGTGTTTATTTTAAGTCAATTTGAAGGTTTGAGGATGAAAGGAAGGCTGAGAAAATGGACAGACATGGAGGGTGAAAATGCTGAAATTGCTTGTGAAAAAGTGGACGGGTTGCGGTGAGAAACAAGTTTGTCGTTGAAAAACCAAACTGTCGCTACTCTGTAACAATTATTTATGAAAAGGAAGCAAGTTAGTACGATATTGTACACCTTGTTTTAAAAAATGGTTGTGTTGCCACGAATGGTTTGTAATGGGTAAAATACTATGGTGAATGAGTGTTTGTAATATATTTTTAAATGCCTTTGATTTTTTCTTTACTGCTTTTTCTCTGGGCTGATGCGTCTCCTCTGCATGGAAGTGGGAAGCGTGTTGATGATGATTTCCCTTTAGTTCTGTTAACCCATTTTAATTACCTATCAGAAATATGTATTGACTGTAGCAGCAATATGAAAATTAATTTTCAACTGAATTTTTTTTTTTTTTTTTTTTTAGAATTATTATTTTAGCTTATTTAATATACAATAATGCTCTTATTAAACTTTAGGATTTTCCTTAATTCATGAATAAAATATCTTGAATGGTTCCCCACATAAAAATTCCCGTTCTTGTCATCATTAAATAATTATCGAATACACACTCAACTCTTCAGTGCCTTGCCTGACAACATGGTCGTGGGAGGCGTCAGGAGGGACAGCCGCTCTAACTCCGTCTCTGAAGATAAAAGTGAAGACATTAGCCTCAGTAGCTTAAGTAAGTTCATACCAAATTTTCCATGACTATTTCTAATTTTAAGTTTGTTTATTATGTATTGTAATCATAATGAGAAATCTGAGCGGTCCTACTTGGTTGGTGCACGAGGCGAAATCCTACGCCGCAGAATTTTGTTTACGTGGTCCCTACATGTTCATGCGATGGTGCTTGGGGGGTACTGGGGGAAAATTTAATTCATTGTAAAACGATGTTTGGAATGAATAAGCATACATGCTGAAATCTTTCCAAGCCCCTCCTCTACTTAAAAAAAAAAAAAAATTGGTCACCAGTGGTGCTTACGCATTATCAAAGTCCACCTGGCTTCTCACCTACACAAACTGGCACGCGGCCTGGTCGACGTCCGGGCCGCGGGGACGCTAAGCACCGGAAGCACCTCAAGGTAACCTCAAGGTTATGGCAGTATAATGGCCACAACAGAGCTATCTGGTCTGTGGCTCTTAACATTCGTCCTGAATGTATATTTCAGTTCAGGAGGTAGTAGGGACCAGATTTCAGTATCTTGTTGAGCAATCGGTAGCTGTTAAATATGCTTTATAATGTTGTTAATGTATTAAATTAATCCTCTAATTAAATGTATTTGGCTTGTTTACATGTTCTTCTTTTAAATATCTTGGCTTGGATAATATGAAGTTTTAACCACAGAAAGAGAAATTTAAAAATGCCACTGAAATGTTTAGTCATGAACAGTTGACTAAACTGTTCCCTCTCCCCCTGGCAAGAGGGACATTGAAGCTAAGGTTGAGAAACAGGGCAGATGAATGACCATTGCCAGTTTAGTAGTCTGATGATGTTTCATGATGTTAAGAGGAGTTCGTTCACTCAAGGTGGTTGAGTGAACGAACTCTGTAACAATTCTGGGGTTCGAACTCTGGGGTTCTGGTGAGTGAACCTTTCAGATGTTGTGAAGCACTGTCATACTACCGAGCCGGCCCATGTTCATTCACCTTGCCCTGCTCCAACCTTGCGGGGGGTTATAGAAACTATGTAACATGAATATAAATTTAAAATGAAAATTAAATGGAGATTTGCCATGAATCATTTGATTTGCTCACCTGTTATACCTCACTTAAGTTGGCAATGAATTTTTGAATAACTGATAAATTTGTAACTTGTGTATATTTCAAAGCTATCTAGATGTGCATTTATGACATCAGTGTTCCTACCCTAGGTCTTGGGAGCACATCTGACAACAATGGTTCGGGTTTGCCAGAAACACCCGAGACCGAGACAACAACAGTGCCCTTGAGAGCCCTCTATGCTGGACTTGAGGATGATGTGGAAGTCAGTATTTGTATTCTTTTGACATTTGATATTTTCCCTGTCCACCATTATGTTCATCCAACTTGCATCTTTGTTGAAGCCTGACTGTGTCATAGAGTAGACATTGTTGTTATGATGTGTTCCAATACTGTTGGTGGCTGAATACCCTGTAAATGTATTTTGATGGACAAAATTATCTTTTCAAAAACGTATTCTACTATTTATTCATAAAGTTTTTATTATTATTATATTAAAACTTGCAATGCTTTCTAACTAGGAAGGAGAATGCGAACAGAGGAAAGAGATCCTTTGGGAGCGTCACTGGAACGAATATGGACGTGGTGTGACCATGTATCGTACGGTGGAGACTCTTCGCTTGGTGCTGGAAGGGCTGCCAGACACTGTCAGGCGAGAAGTGTGGTTAATATTTTCTGGTTAGTAAATACTGAGAATATACCAAAGTTGTCAGTTTTTCTGTGGTTGTTAGTTTCTAGCAAATATTGACTTAAATTTTTTTGATTTTGTAAAACAAAACAAAAATTGCTACTACTGTATACCAATTGATATTTATAAATGATAAATCTTTGTTTTCATTTATATTGTGTTGAATAAGTATTATAGAATACATTTTATTAGGTAATAAGCCAATGAATTAAGTAATATTGTGAATTTATTTAAGAATTTGACCCATGCTTCATAAAGTCTATTGATTATGTGCTTCATGGTCAGCATTACTAGAATATGGTATATAAATATTTTCAACTAAATGCATGTATCGCTGTACATACATGCACCTACAGTATATCATTATTGATGATGATGATCTATTTTTGCAGTATTGATATCGGTAAACTTTCAACTGTTGCTGTACCATGATCCTCTTTTTAAATATTATATATATTAGTCATTTTATAATTAGTATCCATTAAAATAGTATCGGTCAGAATATTGATATCGGCAGTCCGTAGAAGGACTGCCGATATCAATATAATCCATTTAATCATACCATTAATCATTAAGTAAACCTCAAGAGTATTCTCCACTCTAGCTTCCACTATATCGTAAGGCATTATGACATTAATCCAAGATTAAAGGCATCAGAATTAAACACCATTTAAAAATAAGTGATTATCAATTTATTATTAATGCACTAGCATTAAAAGTGCGAAAGCAGCCAAGAACCATTATGGTATATTTCAGGTCAGCTCTTCCAACGAGTTGGCCATAAATGTTGGGAAGTGTGTGTGTCCTTTAGTAATACAGTAGATCAAGTACAGAACATTTGTAGTGAAACCTTTGCAACATTAACAGTTGTTGACCAGACCACACACTAGAAATTGAAGGGACGACGACGTTTCGGTCCGTCCTGAACCATTCTCAAGTCGATGAACTTGAGAATGTTCATTCTCAAATCGACTTGAGAATGGTCCAGGACGGACCGAAACGTCGTCGTCCCTTCAATTTCTAGTGTGTGGTCTGGTCAACATACTTCAGCCACGTTATTGTGACTCATCGCCTGCAACATTAACAGTTAATCAGCTAATAGAGATCCAACCCACAACTGAAAATGAAGTGACGACGGCAATGACATTTTGGTCCAAGACGTCATTGTTTCTTCATTTTCACTTGTGGGTTGGATATAAACGCTTCAGCCATATTATTGTGACTTGTAATCTGCAATCAGCTTCTTCTAAGCTACCCTCCTTCATCATGGCAAATAGAAAATAGATAAAGGCACTATACAGATAGGTAAAGTGCATTGCTATATATGCTTAATAATAATAATAATTAATAAATAATAATAATAATAATAATAATAATATATAAAGACATATTCATGAATGTTTGTGACAGTACGACATGCAAAACGTCAATTATATTTTCATTTAAATGTATACTTGCAGGTGCTATTAATGAGCAAGCAACTAATCCGGGTTATTACGAACAAGCAGTAATTGCGGGATTAAAGCGTGGGGGTCCTGCTAATGATGAGATCGAGAGGGACCTACATCGGTCCCTCCCAGAACATCCTGCATTTCAGAGCGAGACGGGAATATCGGCTCTAAGGCGGGTGCTCTGTGCCTACGCGTGTAGGAACCCTGCCATCGGTTAGTTGCTGAATTACATTTTAGAGGTGTGAAATATATGCAAAATTTGTTATTACATATTACATACATTTCCTTGAGCTAAAAAGATTGAATTTTTCTCGTTAAAAATTTATTTAAAATTGATAATATATGTAATTACACTTGCTGCATATTTGGAGTGAATTTAATCAAATTTTAGTTAATGTACTTCAATTGCTATGATATTGTTTATAACATGGCCATGGAAATGGCTCTTCAGGTAGATATTGGAGATGATGACCTCTAACTCTTATTAGCAACCTTAGAGCTTTTCCTTTCCATGACTTATCTCAGGTTTTTATCTTACTAGTTTGTGTCCAGTCAATCCACCCTGCTCAGGGCACGAACCATGTTGAAATTGTTGTGCAGTAGTGGCAGTCATTTTAGGAAATAGAAAATCTTGAGGCAGACTTGGGCAGTTCTACTGGTAATGGAAGACAGTATGACATGTGAAAATACTTGTAGAAGGTATTATGAAGGTCGAGATTTGACACCCATTCTTAGAATGTGAAATGAATTCCAATTATATCCAAAGAGTTAGTTAAGAAAAGGGGTAAACAGGGCTAAGCTCATTATAAATTAGTGTTGACTAGGCTGGAGTCACAACTGTACCCTTGTAGTGTGAATCATTTGGTGTAATATGTAGTAAGGTACTCATAACTGGCTAAATTATGGTCCAATTGACCATAATTTTAGGACCATTGTGGTTACTTTTGCTGAATTTGGTACATTTATGGCAATATGCCAATGCAATGTTGGTTTAGAAATTGTGTAATGATTGCAATGTGTGCTGTGTTACAGCAAAAACTAACAATTTGCTGGATATATATAAATCTGGATATTGTGCCTTCTTTTGGGGAATTTGACTACTTAATTATTTTTCATTTTAGTGGTTTTTGGATAATAGGTACAGTATTTTGGTATAATATAATGTCCTAATTCATATTCCCTAAGGTTACTGTCAAGCCATGAACATTGTGGCATCAGTCCTCCTTGTGTACTGCAATGAAGAGGAGTCGTTCTGGCTCCTGGCTGCTCTGAGCGAACGTCTCCTCCCCGATTATTATAACACTCGGGTTGTCGGGGCCTTGGTTGACCAAGGCGTACTAGAAGACCTCATTCAAGACCACATGCCGGGCCTCCACACCAAGCTTTCAGACCTCGGCATCATTTCTCTCATCTCGTTGTCCTGGTTTCTTACCCTGTTTCTCAGGTTTGTATCATCTCAACCTGTACATGTAGCTTCTTTCTCACCAGTACTCTGTGCACATAATTCATATAGATGTTTTAGATGAAATTTGATTAAATAGCATTAAGGATTTGTAGAGAAGGATGAAACCAGCATTAGTTGACTTGTGCAGAAGTACGTGGAACAGAAGACTACTCAATAGCTCGGACGATGGAGCTTCGGTCTTACGTGAATGACACTCTCACGGTTCGAGTCTCTTGAGCCCAGGTGAATGTAACATGAAACCGATTCAGTTGCAAGAATCACTCGATAGTGTTAGGGCAGGAAAATGGGAGAAAGTTGCTCGATGACAAATTTGGAATATGAAAAGTTTTGTGTCCATCAGTAACATTGAATGAAGACTTGTACATAAGGATATTACATTATCTGTTAAACCGGGTGACAGTCATAAAGGATGGAGCAATTGTTAGAGAATTGAAGAGTTGTGCTGGAGGTATGGATAAAACTGACCTGCTAAGGATGTAGGTCTGTTGTATAATGTACCTATTGTATAATGTTGTGGGTATAATTTGACTGACTATCGTGTTGGTCCCTTGTCATGGGGGGGGGTAGAGATATGCTGTATAGGGGTTATAGGTGCACAGGTGATATAATATTGTAGAGAGTTGAGGATAAGATGCTGAGGAATGTATTGATGTATAAAGCAGGACAAGAGTGATTTAGATAGCTTAGGTACATACCTTCTACAACACTACCTTGTACCGATATATAGAGAAGCTGACCAAATAAGGGGGATATGGTGAATAAACTGATACAGTAGTGGAAATGGAATGGAAGCGATGTAGATGTATTTCTGAAAACAATCTTTGTGTGCTTATGTGAAATGCGTTAGATGAGTTGGCTGTAATGTGTGTATGGAGAATTATAATTACATACTTTCAAAATAGATGAATATGCTCATGTTGATTGTGTGTGCAAGGTGAAGATATTGCGTACACACACACGAGATAATTTTACAATGTTTACTTCCAGGTTTATATTATCTTTGAGACTGCTACTGTAATTATAATAATGTATTAATTCAATTTAATGTTGTAAGCTCAAATGATGCACTAAAATGGCTTCATTCTCCTACAGTGTAATGCCATTTGAAGCGGCTGTGCATGTGGTAGACTGCTTTTTCTACGACGGTGCTCGTGTAGTGTTCATGGTTGCACTAGCCATACTCGACGTCAACAAAGTGGCACTGGAAAGTAAGCAGCCTCTCTCTTGCATCTTGTGAATTTCCATTTTGAAGTTATGGTAATGAAATAATACACTATCATAAAAGTTATATTTTCATTAATAAAGTTTTAATGTGTTGTTTATTATTAGAGTAACTGAAGTAAAAAGAATCAAATACAGCACTGTGTGAAGTATTTAATTCATGTATGGTGTTTTGTTTATTTTCTGGAAGAGACCTCTCGGTAGCTTCCCCAAGCTTAAATGTTATATTGCCAAGCCTTGGCCTAATACTCCAGGGGCCAGATTCACGAAAGCACTTACGCAACCACTTACGAACGTGAACATCTTTCCTCAATCTTTGACGGCTTTGGTTACATTTATTAAACAGTTTACAAGCAAGAAAACTTCCCATTCAACTGTTGTTATTGTTATAAACAGCCTCCTGGTGCTTCGGGGCTCATTAACTGTTTAATAATTGGAAACAAAGCCGCCAAAGCTTATGAAAAGATGTACAGGTTCGTAAGTGTTTGCGTAAGTGCTTTCGTGAATCTGGCCCCAGGCCTGTGAATCCTATGTCACCTATTGGGAGCCACTACTAGAGTCTGGCTCCTTCAGTAAAGCGTGGAGCGTAGGGAAACCACCATGAGACTGGTAAAATGCAGCAGAAAGCATAGGTGTAACAAAATAAGCCACTGCTTGAAGGTAATTTGGCGGCCCTAGGCAAACAAACATTGTTGTAGGATAAATTCCCTGACTGTGACTGACTAACAGGACAACTGACTGACTGACAACTGACTACTACCTAGTCGCCTCGGGTCTCACTCCAACCTATCCTCCTACAAAGAACATCGCTTTTCGCTCCTATGTGTTACATAAAGCTAGAAATTGTCATACTAGAAAATGGAAGTGGCTTGCGAAAGTGACGTACTGTCCCATTTTCTACCTTAGGTCCTCTGGTAGGTTGGGAAAGGACACATTAAATTAACTGTTTTCTTCACGCTGGAGAAACCTTAGGAGGATGAACTGGTCAGTCGGCCTGCCCTCCCTTTTCCACTGGTTTGTCTAATACCAGTAGGCTCTGCTGGGCCTATCATTGGCTTCACACTTTCTGATTGTAATGTATCGGAATTAATGGAGAAAGGAATATGAAAACTCAGGGAGAGTAAGGTGGAAGGGAGGCGTGAGTAGGGGTGATTGAGAGGAGAGCGATGAATAGTCATGAGAAAGAAAGTTTAGAATGAGAGAAAATGGGTTAGAGTAGGTAAAGTAGATAAGATGTAGATAAAAGGGTAGAAGAGTAGCAAGTGCTGCCACCATCCAGTTACGGGTTTAAGAGACAAGGAATGGAGCTTGTGTGTTCAGCAGTGTTAAGTGATGTAACCAACAACAACTGCAAGCATATAATCATACCATTAATCATTAAGTAAACCTCAGAGTGTTCTCCACTCTAGCTTCCTCTATATCGTAAGGCATTATGACATAATCAAAGATTAAAGGCATCAGAATTAAACATAATTTAAAAATAAAGTGGCTATCATTTTATTATCTATTAATGAAAATTCAATCATATGGATATTATAATTCAACCTTTTTTCTTAACTTTCAAATATTAACATTAATTCAGAATTTGAGTCGCCACACAAGAAATTGAGAGCAACACTGCTGACTGCCCCTGAAAATTACACGTCATGTAATTTGGGAAACACAATATACAATATGTCAACCTTAAAACTCAACTCGCCACGGTCTATGATCTAAGATGGTTGGAGAGGAAGGAAGGAGGGAGGGAGGGAGGGGGGGGGGGGAAATACAGCTGACAAAGGCCCCACTAGCTTGTGGGGGGACAGACCTTCGTAGACCTGGCCTGCTACTGCTGGAACCTCTCTGGTGTAGCGAGGCTTCTCTCTTGAAATTGCACAAAAGCTCGGGTATTTAAGGGCAAACTGGGAGCTTAACTCCGCCTACCAGGAGATAGTCTTCGGCTATCTTCCTACCACACCTAAACAGCGGCTTATTTGGTGGGAAGAACACAGCCACCCGTCTACAATTATCAGCTTAGCTGAGAGGCAAGGTCATTTAACCCGACCTGACCTCTGCCAGACATGTGAACACACTGAAGGTGTGACTTTTGAAAAGCTAAGGACCGATTACCTGGCAGCACCCAACATCTTGCGTAAACTGACTCTACTTGTATGTGAAATATTAAATACAACCCTTTATGGTGTTACAGGATGAATGATGATAGTATTCCCTGGAATGTTTGGTTTCTCTAGAGGGCCAGTGTTTGTTCTTGTTCATGCTTCATGGTTACGATTTCTGCCACCCACATTGCATGCATGTTTAACATTCATTTACTCGGTGAGGCACAAAAGGAACCAAGAAAATACAAAGGTTTGCAACTAGACTTGTACCATTATTGAGAAAAGACTGCTATGAGGACCATGTTAAGGGAAGTCTCACTTACAGCAGTAGAAGAAAGAAGAAATGGGAGATATGATCACTACATTGCTGATAATGATGGGGAATATACAAGGTAGAAAGGAAGCCTGTTTGAGAGAAGGGTTGACTAAAGGGATAAGAGATGATGCTGGATACACAATTAAGTACGGGATGTAAGGAATTCTCGTGTCCTGTACGAGTGGTCAGCAAGTGGAATGCGTTGAAGGAAGTTTGTTGTTGAAGTCGCTTCCACTCACAAGGGAAAGAATAAACATGACAAGAACGTTAACACGTTGAGTTGTAATTAGCATACCAGATATTAAAGGCTGAGGTAGAGCATAAAGAGCTAGACTTCATTCCTCTGTAGTCACTGATAGTTAAGCACTTGATAATTAAGCACCTCTGTATCCAACACTGCCACAGAAATCACAGCAACCCACACCACAATTGCTATCACTGCCACAGAAACCACAACCACCACAATTGCTATCACACATTCAACTGCAACTCTCTCCACTAAAAAGACTGCACCCATTAACCTTTTCATTGCATGCTCCTCACATTCCCTGTGATCGTTACACCAGCTTGTGTCCGTAATCCAACCTTGTACTCACAACACCTAGTGTAGGCATAACAATACAAGTTTAAAAACTCTGTATTATAGTATGAGACATACTGACTCTAGGATACCCTTCTTAATTGCCCTCATTTAATTGAAGCATATTTAGTTGGAATCCTGAACATCCTGGGACAGTTGAGTGCTCACTCTTCACTCCGCTCACGTGCATCTTGCACATTGAGTGACGTGGATGTAAAACAATAAGTTGATAATGTTCTGGGGGAAACGTAATGCATAAATTTATCACTTGATTGCAAACATATGATTTTGTTTCGTTGGAACTAAATGACTAGTGTGCAGGTTGAGAAAGTACTATCTTTGCTGCCTTTCAAAGTTTGCTCTTCCCTTTTCAGATTGTGATGATGAGGGAGAAGCCATGATGGTTCTGGCCGACTATCTAGGATCAATCAACACTCCCAAGAGTCGATATGGAAAACGTAAATCAAGCGTCTGCGAAGACAAGCAGTCGGGATCACCTGAGGAAAGGGTATTGAGTGTTTTAGCATCCTGTACTTTAACCCTGTTCCCTTCCTTATTGTGGTATAAACAAATTTGAGTGACCTTAGCTACCACCTGGTGGCAATAAGGCACATCGCTGTTAAGGTGTTTGACCTTCGACACCAATTGTTTGCCTCATTACCTCTGATGAATTTTCTTCAAGCAGTTGCTTGTTTTGTTGCAATTGTAGTGTCTGGTGTGATTTTCTTGATCTGGTATATTTTTATCCTCAAGCTCCTCCTCAATTCATAGAGGGAGGCAAATTGTGATCCTGGCTTGTGGTAGGCAAGGGTGGGTCCCACAGGCCTGACCAGTCTTCGTGGTGCAGTGGTAAGACACTCGCCTGGCGTTCCGCGAGCGCTTTGTCATGGGTTCGTATCCTGGCCAGGGAGAATTTACTGGGCGCAAATCCTTAACTGTAGCCTCTGTTTAACTCAACAGTAAAATGTGTACTTGGTTGTAACAACGATTCTTCGCGGCGGGGATCGTATTCCAGGGACCTGCCCGAAACGCTACGCGTACTAGTGGCTCTACAAGAATGTAACAACTCTTGTATATATCTAAAAAAAAAAAAAAAAAAAAAAAAAAAAAAAAGAGGTATGACTGTACCAGTGCTTAGCTCAGATAGCTTTTGTCAGCCCACCAGAAAATGGTGTTTGACTACATTCAATGCTTGATTTATGTTTAGTGTTTGTCTGCCTTGTTTTAATAACGAAGGTCCACGGAAACGTATTTGACAGATGGTGAAAATTTATATACTTATATGACTTGTATACATTTCCTTGTATCTTACACACATTTCATCCTGCGCAGGGAAACGAACCTGGGACCATTCGGTTGTGAGCCGACAGTACACACATTTTTAAACTTGTAGATATGTTTTGTTGTTTTGAAAATTTGATTGTATACCTCCAAACATCTGACTAGTTCAGTTACAGCATCTTGCTCTTCTAAGATAGGCCTAAATTGTAGCTAAGATAGGTTAAGTTGAGACTTGCATCCAGTTTAGTTCACAAGTCGGCCGTACAGAGCTTGGTGTATTTACACAAGTGGCAAATGGTTGGAGGTTAGTAGTATAATTGTAAACAACTCTACATTATTATTATTATTATTGCAATTCGTTCAGTGTGAGAACTGCTACTGGAATAATAGTTTACTTTGGGCTTTAATCACTGCACGGTGCCCCTGGTTTCTGCAAAAACTTCATAGTGCAATTGTCAAGGACATATTTTTGTTGTTTTAATAAATGTTCAGGTCAAGTTAATGTCAAAATGTTTCCGAACTCAACCATTTTCATTTCAAAACCCAGAGTGATGAAAACATTAAAAAAAAAACATTAAAATATAGCCTAATTAAAAAAAAAGTAGCACAACTCTCAGAGTGCCTTAGGGCGCTCTGCCCAGTGCAGTGGTTAAGAAGTAGTCCATAGAGAAGGAAGTGCGTTGATCTTGGCATTGGGTAGAATATATGTGCAATAAATGCTGGGTACCTTAGTTTTGACTTGTAGTGAATATGACATTGGCTAAACTTTGCTGGTGGATATTGTTAAATTTAATATAAGGTGTTTAAATTTTAAGCCGACACCGATTCTGTCAAGTCTGAATGAATGTTGAGTACTGTAATTAGAAATCCTGAACTTGTGCAAGGTTATTAAGTTGTTAGTAAGAGGTATAAGATAGAATTAATTGAAGATAGAAGCCTTAATGCTCCTGATTGGATAGTTATCAAGCCAATAAAAGACTTACCAGAAAATTAGCATTACTGAACTGTGTTTGGTGGTGAAGAGAGCTATGGAAATAGACTTCTTATTGATGAATGTGCCAGCATATTTAGATCTTTAGTATAGGCCATAATGTAATAGATGAACAAACTACAGTATTATTTTTGGTGAATAACTAACATTTTAAGTGACCTTACATGATTAATAATAGTACTGCCCAGTATTGTCTTTTGTCCGTTCTGATATATTTTGAATTTCGTTCACCTTATATTTTTGTGTTTGCAGGTTATGGTGAACATTGTTGACATTATAGAAGCAGCATACCGAGGTTTCGGTTTCATCACAAATGTTGCCATCGAGCGACTACGAGTCAAGCATCGCCTACGAGTTGTTCAAACACTAGAAGACACCGTTATGAGGAACACCTTACGTACCGTTGGTCCCGACTGTATTTTATCCGAGGAGGACCTGAAAGTGAGCACTTTTACTCGTATATGAAATGGTATTAAAGTACAGTACAGGTGGCCCTTGATTTACATCAAAGCAGTGTTCCTGTAAATACTTTTTGTCAATAAAAAATAAAACCTATAAATCTCTAAACCTAATTTACATAAATCCACTTTTGCATTAGGCCAGTTTTCTCAATAAAATGCCTGTTTGTACAATAATATTTAATGCTCCCTCCACTTTCCTGCCAGAAATATAGCACAGAATGAAGTTTACAGTAGATTGATTAGATGTGAATTTATGGAAAAATATTAAAAAGACGACCAAGCATGAGAATACTTGATGTGATAGCCTGATAGGTTTCTGTGACTGCAGTGTACTCATTAATTAGTGTGGATTATGTCCATTAATCCACATTTGACCTCTTTGCCATTGAAATACAGTACACCATGTATTTTGAGATTGATATCAAAGTGTTGACTTGCATGCCACAGAATCTGCTCTTTCCAAGACCGTGCAACTTGAGGGGCGGTTGTACAGTAACTATTGGCAGTGCAGTCTTGGTAACTAGAATTATTACACAGATGCAACATTCATAGTCTCCTTTGTTTTCCTGTGCATATGCATTGTTTGTGTCTGTGTGCAGGAGCTTGATAAGTGTCTCGGTAATGAGAACATTTCTCTCTGTGCATCGTCAAGGAATGGTGGTGTTCTCTGGGAAAGGACACGCATTGATGTAGTTCTCTGGGAGTGGACACAGGTTGATGTAGTTTTCTGGGAGTGGACAAGGGATGGTAGTGTTCTCTGGGAAAGGACACAGGTTGATGTAGTTTTCTGGGAGTGGACAAGGGACGGTAGTGTTCTCTGGGAAAGGACACAGGTTGATGTAGTTTTCTGGGAGTGGACAAGGGACGGTAGTGTTCTCTGGGAAAGGACACAGGTTGATGTAGTTTTCTGGGAGTGGACAAGGGACGGTAGTGTTCTCTGGGAAAGGACACAGGTTGATGTAGTTTTCTGGGAGTGGACAAGGGATGGTGGCATTCGCTGGGCGAGGACACAGGTTGATGTAGTTCTCAGGAAGTGGACGAGAATGCTAAATAAACTAACGCTTAATTTTCTTTCAGGAACTTGTCATCTATGTTCGTGGGGAGCAGATTTTAGGAGGAGAGGACAAGGAAGTTCGCCAGCGTAACAATTCTGCAAACCCTCTTACCCAGGAGGGCTATGCCCTTGGATATGAAACTTTCCGTCAGCTGTTTTTGAGTGTTTCGCCATGGGGTCAGGGTGATCGTGCCGAGTCCATTGTGACAAGTATTTTTAATGTTAGTTATTCTTCAAAGTCGGTGTAAATGGTACTGGTAAAATATTCCATAGACCTGAGTAAAGTGTGCCTGACCTAAAATAATTATTAGTGACCAACATGTAGAATTATCACAATTGGGAAACATGTTTTGTCATATGCTGTCATAACACAAATCATGCCTGGCCTTGGGCCAGGCTTGGGGAGTAGAACAACTCCCAGAACCCCATCAAGCAGGTAATTGTAATCAATGTATTGATTACTCTGCTGATGCTTCTTCAGTGACTTACTACAGTATTTCCATTTTACCTGGAGTGGGTTCTGCGAGTTCTGCTCTCCAGGACCGGCTTGGGGCCATGCTTGACTTGTGATAGATTTTAAATGTTGGTGAAACAATAGATAATGACCATTAGTGAATGTATTGAGCATTTGTTGTAGGAAATGTCTTGTGTACAATAGGTAAAGGTAATTTACATAATAGTTTTATAGTCATGGTAATAAATCTTTTAAAAACAGTTGGTGAAATTTTATAGTAAAGAAGACCTATTTGCTAGTCTTATTTCTAGATTATGTGCATCTTAATTGTCACATTGCTGCTTAAGGTATCCTTGGTCAGTTTGGATTTATCACATATTTCAGTACAACTGTTTGTAATATACTTAAGTGTACCATTGGTTATCCTCTGCAGATGTTGGATGTTGATGGAACACACGTTCTAAGTTTTCGCTCTGTAGCGTGGCTGTTCGGGGTTCTATGTAGTGGAGACTTTGCACGTAAGCTGCGGTTGTTCTACTACTTGCATTTGGCATTTCCTCCAAACTTGGAGGAAGTGGATAGGGCAACTAGAAAGGAGGAGAATGGTAAGAAAAATCAATTTGTAAATCTGTTGTCTTTTTTATTTTTCAGAGATATATCTACTGTACTGTGTACTGGTAGTCATTACATGTAGTCAGTTTTAGGTTGGCCATGGTGGAAATTAAAACTTTAGGATAGCTGAAAATAAATCTTGTAAGGAGTGGTGAATGATTGAGCTTTAGAAGCATAACTTAACAATGTTAGTGTTGCCATAAGCGTAACGGTTGTAAGAGGAGAGTTGTGTGTATGCATTCGCAAATTAGTCAAATTGCAAGCCAAGTGATAGTACATTTGGGTGTTCTTATGCAAAAATTATTTGTAAAAATAAAAATAAGTAAACAATACAAATCAATGCATGGGAATAAGAAGGCAGGATAGATTTTTTTTATTAAAAGTGCATAAAAGTCCTTGGTAAGCATGTATATTGGCTGTAGTTATAATATTCTATGTCTTTGTTGAACATAGTGTTTGAGTTGCTTGGATAATGATTGTTAGAAAATGGATGTTACTTTACGATAGTAGCGAGGATCGATGTCCATGTGGCCCGGTCTCGGACTAAGCCTTCTGGTTGGTGGTCTGGTCAACTAGGCTGTTGTCTAGACAGCACCGGATGCCACCTCTCGCAGTTAGATGTATGAATCTAATTAGAGATGAATTTAAGCCTAGGGATTAATTATATAAAAAAATCGTTACTTTGAATTTTTTAATTATTTTTAATGTTGTAGATATAAAGAGTGTATCTTCATTACCAGCAATATAATAAATCAAACCAAATGTTTGGCTTGTATATGTAAATATATATTTCTATTCTCAGTGGGACTACCCTCAAATGTTATCATTTCTACCCCTCAAATGTTCCCATATCTACCCTTATTGGGAAGTACCCTCAAATGTTCCCATATCTACCCTCAGTGGGAAGTACCCTCAAATGTTCCCATATCTACCCTCAGTGGGAAGTACTCTCAAATGTTCCCATATCTACCCTCAGTGGGAAGTACCCTCAAATGTTCCCATATCTACCCTCAGTGGGAAGTACCCTCAAATGTTCCCATATCTACCCTCAGTGGGAAGTACTCTCAAATGTTCCCATATCTACCCTCAGTGGGAAGTACCCTCAAATGTTCCCCTATCTACCCCTCAATGGGAACCAGAGAGAACGTTGTGTAGCTAAAGTGTTGGAGAAGAAATAGTCGCACACAGGTGTGTTGTGAGGCTGTTAGGGTGTTGTTATTTTAATGTAAGTATAGGATGTGTTGCTTTGACAAGTCATTTCTTTGATTTATAACAAAGGATGTTGAAGAGTGTGCCAACATAAGAGAGATAATTACAGTATGTTTCTAATAACGAAATGCTGAGTACAGCAAAAAAAAAAAAATCCCGGATTTGTGACAAAAAAATTATAACTGAAAAAAAAGTGACCTATAATGGGGGAAAAAAATTAATCCAGAGTCCACCGACTACACTGGACTCGGGATTAATTTTGAATATGGTAATCTACACCGCAGTTTGTTGCCACTAACACCGCGACACCGCAGTATGACGCAGCTCCTTCTTTATATAGCTTCCCTCTCAACATTTGTCATTCAAACATGTATGTTTTCTTGCTTGTTTTTGTATCGTTTATTTTATTTATTTATTTATGCATATACAAGAATGTACATAAGGAATGTGAGGATACAAATATGGTAATTACAGTCTTGTAAAGCCACTAGCACGCGCAGCGTTATCTTGCGCATGTATTTCAAATGCAACACTCCTCATCCTCTCTTGTGCCTTGTGTATCATAAGTGGAAACAGGAGCAGACAATCCTTCTGAAAAGACAAATCTCATTATAATTCTTCAGGAAATATTTGTTATTATTTAAAGTATTCATCTCCTCAAAATCTGAAAATAAGAGATAATTTAAGAAAGATGATTTTTTTTTTTTTTTTAAGTGTATACAATCAGTTGAGGTGTTCTGATAGTATACCCAAAGGTTTATACAGCGATAATACTGATGTTAAATTGGTGGGATGTTGGATAGTTTTGTTTGAAGCTGTGTGTGTGGTGTACCTTCAGCAGCTGAGGTGGAGGAGGAAGCGGCGGTAGAGGCAGAGGAGTATTTTGACTATTTAGAAGAGGACTATGGGAAAGGCAAAGTGGATCTTGATATGCCAGATGACCAAGACTCTCGGACCCCTGGCACCTCTCCTAGAAAAGGTGTGTACGTATTTAAAATCCTGCAAATATATATATATTATTTTTTTGTGATAGAAAATGATACTTGTACCCAGTTTTCCATTTTCTTCAGGTGGGGAGGTACTTGTCTAGAAAGGATGTCGTAGGAAGGGTCACAAGTCTTCAGCATGGGACTCATCCTTTTATTATATCTCTTGTTTCTTTGGAAGCATCATAGGATATTGATAACATTTCACTAGCACATAAATTGTAGAGCAGCATCTGGTGCTTAAGGCCGATCTTGTAGCTATTGGCTCTGGGTACTTTCAAAATCAATATCTGTCTCTTGCCTCACTCTCTGGTTGGTTGGTTTGAGCTCCCGTAGCCTGCCATTTTGGCTAGTTTGGTATTGATGTTTCTTGATGGCTTGTTTGTGTACCCTGTACTCATCTCCTGGATGGCTAGTTTTTTGTGCACCCTGTACTTGTCCTGTGAGTGGTAGTTTAATGTGCACTCTGTACTTGTGCTGTGAGTGGTAGTTTAATGTGCACTCTGTACTTGTCCTGTGAGTGGTAGTTTAATGTGCACTCTGTACTTGTGCTGTGAGTGGTAGTTTAATGTGCACCCTGTACATGTCCTGTGAGTGGTAGTTTAATGTGCACCCTGTACATGTCCTGTGAGTGGTAGTTTAATGTGCACTCTGTACTTGTCCTGTGAGTGGTAGTTTAATGTGCACTCTGTACTTGTCCTGTGAGTGGTAGTTTAATGTGCACTCTGTACTTGTCCTGTGAGTGGTAGTTTAATGTGCACTCTGTACTTGTCCTGTGAGTGGCAGTTTAATGTGCACTCTGTACTTGTGCTGTGAGTGGTAGTTTAATGTGCACCCTGTACTTGTCCTGTGAGTAGTAGTTTAATGTCCACCCTGTACTCATCCTGTGAGTAGTAGTTTAATGTCCACCGTGTACTCATCTTGTGAGTGGTAGTTTAATTTGAAGCTCCTTAGCATATGCAGGCGATGAGTCACAATAACGTGGCTGAAGTATGTTGACCAGACCACACACTAGAAGGTGAAGGGACGACAATGTTTCAGTCTGTCCTGGACCATTCTCAAGTCGATTGTGTCATTCTGTGTTCTCAAGTCATTCTCACAATCGACTTGAGAATGGTCCAATACGGACCGAAACATCATCGTCCCTTCACCTTCTAGTGTGTGCTTTGGTCAACTCCTTAGCATAGTTCTCTTTTTCTTGTTTTAATTGAGTAGTTGTGGATGAAAAGGGCTTCATATAGGCCTCTGGTTATCTTCCTTCTTGAGGTTATCTTGAGATGATTTCGGGGCTTTTAGTGTCCCCGCGGCCCGGTCCTCGACCAGGCCTCCACCCCCAGGAAGCAGCCCGTGACAGCTGACTAACACCCAGGTACCTATTTTACTGCTAGGTAACGGGGCATAGGGTGAAATAAACTGCCCATTGTTTCTCGCCGGCGCCTGGGATCGAACCCAGGACCACAGGATCACAAGTCCAGCGTGCTGAAATGAGTCACATGTGTACCGTCCTGGACACATAAGTAAAGACACACAAGACTATTAAAGCAGGAATGAAGGATGAAAGCTTTGTTGATTCCTGCATTAGCCAAAATGACATGCAGAATTCTTTCTGATTTCAATAAAAGTAAATGATGAGTTCTCATATTAATAAAATCCCTAGTAAAGTACTACAGTATTTGGTCACTGGGGGAACGGTTCCATAAGAAAATTGTTGTCTAGATTCCAGCATTCTAGATTCTAGCTTCAGATGATTCTAACATCTAACAGATTCTAACATCTAGATTCAGATGTCTAGATTCTAGCAGTCCAGCAACCAGGAGGCCTGGTCGACGACCGGGCCGCTGGGACACTAAGCCCCGGAAGCACCTCAAGGTAGCCTCAAGGTAAGGTAGATACAGATTTGGTGTAACTGGTATGCAGATATCGGTACTTTATTACAGTAGAACCTGGAAGTGAAGAAAGTTAAACTGCATTTTTGTACAAATGGAAAGAAAACAGTGTTGTAATGTTATATCTTCTTCTTGAGATGATTTCGGGGCTTAGCGTCCTTGCGGCCCGGTCCTCGACCAGACCTCTTTTTTGTTAGTTTCCCCAGGAAGCAGCCCGTAGCAGCTGTCTAACTCCCAGGTACCTATTTACTACTAGGTGAACGGTGCATCAGGGTGAAAGAAACTCTGCCCATTTGTTTCTGCCTCCACCTGGGATCAAATTTGAAGCGCTGTCCCCACATTCCAAAGTGAATTGGAAAATGTTAAGAAAGCCAATATAAGCTACTACTGTACTGAGTACATACAAAATGAGAATGAAGACCATGCATGTTGTATCTGTAAAATGAATACCAAAGTTGGACGATAATATATTTAAAATCCTAAAGTAGCGATATTCTGTATTGGCATGTTGCCGTACATGGTTTCCTCACTCCAATTTTCGTGGGTTAAGTCGACTACTATACTGTTTGCTGTGATGTGTATCTGCAATCACACAGGAAAAACAAAAGTCTTGGCAATATGAGAGTTTATTTGTGTGCTGCGAAAAATCCATTTCAACAACCTAAAATATTTGTTTAGACAAGGATGGCAGAATAGGAGTTTTGGGCCTGGTAGTTGCAGGTGGGTTGACTTTGGCAGTGAAAACTCTTCGCCAGGTGTGCTTGTTCTGGCAGTGAAAACTCTTCGCCTGGTGTGCTTGTTCTGGCAGTGAAAACTCTTCACCTGGTGTGCTTGTTCTGGCAGTGAAAACTCTTCGCCTGGTGTGCTTGTTCTGGCAGAGAAAACTCTTCGCCTGGTGTGCTTGTTCTGGCAGTGAAAACTCTTCGCCTGGTGTGCTTGTTCTGGCAGTGAAAACTCTTCGCCTGGTGTGCTTGTTCTGGCAGTGAAAACTCTTCGCCTGGTGTGCTTGTTCTGGCAGTGAAAACTCTTCGCCTGGTGTGCTTGTTCTGGCAGTGAAAACTCTTCACCCGGTGTGCTTGTTCTGGCAGTGAAAACTCTTCGCCAGGTGTGCTTGTTCTGGCAGTGAAAACTCTTCGCCTGGTGTGCTTGCTCTGGCAGTGAAAACTCTTCACCCGGTGTGCTTGTTCTGGCAGTGAAAACTCTTCGCTTGGTGTGCTTGCTCTGGCAGTGAAAACTCTTCGCCTGGTGTGCTTGTTCTGGCAGTGAAAACTCTTCGCCTGGTGTGCTTGTTCTGGCAGTGAAAACTCTTTGCCTGGTGTGCTTGTTCTGGCAGAGAAAACTCTTCGCCTGGTGTGCTTGTTCTGGCAGTGAAAACTCTTCGCCTGGTGTGCTTGTTCTGGCAGTGAAAAGTCTTCGCCTGGTGTGCTTGCTCTATATTTATCAGGATTAATTAGTCCCTGTTAAAGAATTACATTAGTGATTAATGGTTGCCTTTGCACCATCACTCCCGGGAAGGATATGGGATGTGTAATAAAGAACTAAACTAAAATGATTAATGGTCATTAAATGTATTATTCTGTTTTGTTGCTCACTGTATCAACTTATATGGCCGGTTAAACCACTAGATATTATTGGGTTGCTTAGTTTTGCTAAGCAATTTAACTAAAAATAAAAAAAATTGGAACTATTCTTGACGCTTCATAAGTAACCCGACAGGATTCAGCCCTTGGAAATCAAAGGTCTAGATACACCGATGTACATATTTATGAGCTTAACACAGGTGTGTGTGTGTGTAATTACCTAAGTGTAGTTACAGGATAAGAGCTACGCTCGTGGTGTCCCGTCTTCCCAGCACTCTTTGTCATATAACGCTTTGAAACTACTGACGGTCTTGGCCTCCACCACCACCTCACTTAACTTGCTCCAACCGTCTACCACTCTATTTGCGAAGGTGAATTTTCTTATATTTCTTCGGCATCTGTGTTTAGCTAGTTTAAATCTATGACCTCTTGTTCTTAAAGTTCCAGGTCTCAGGAAATCTTCCCTATCAATTTTATCAATTCCTGTTACTATTTTGTATGTAGTGATCATATCACCTCTTTTTCTTCTGTCTTCTAGTTTTGGCATATTTAATGCCTCTAACCTCTCCTCGTAGCTCTTGCCCTTCAGTTCTTGGAGGTGTACGTGTGTATGTGACTGTCAGTTCAGCAAGCCAGTGTTTGGTAGCATCTATGGGGGTATTAGGAGACGAGAAAAAAGAGAGATACGATTCCCATGTAACATCGTAGTTCATAGAATATTAGGACCTTATTGGCACTGGTCTATGTCTCGCTGTGATGTGTGAGGTTGTATATGTACATTACATATTCTGTATGCACTACAAAGCACAGAAAAAAAATTCAGTTTTAAAGTTCATTTATTCTTGTGCATGTCCCATGAAAAGTGTAGATCAAATTGAGCAACAAGAATGTTATTAGTATCATACTCTACTTTCGTGTAAAAGAAATAAATCACATTACAGTATCGATGCCGAATTTTTATTCATACTATTACAGTATATTAATTTTCGGAAGTTGATTGTGGGGTAAAAGCATCATGACGCTGCAAGTTCGCTTAGGGTATCTAATACTCTCGCATTAGCCCTGTTTAATTGTCTCTGGATCTGATGCATCTGTTTCCCGAAGATGTTGACGTAACACGTGCAGTCTCTTCTGGGAGCCTCATGTCGGTGCACAAATCTACAGTTCTCATTGCTTATAACTTTGATCTTCTGCTTCTTATCTTAGCTTTCTTTGTCCCTGCTCTTCCTGCTTGTAATACTGAACATGGCATGCAAACAAAATTATATTCTTTTATGGAGATCACATTAAGTACTGTATAGCATTACAGTCTTTTCAGAGAATAAGTCACAATGTAGCTAATAACCAATACTCTGACATTCATGTGAGAAATTAAATAAGCACAAATGTTTGTCCATCTTGGACCCCCCTTATCAAGTCATAATATCTTATTTAACTTCTTATTTTTGTCATGTGTGGGTTGGGTTATTGCAGGCTTTGGTATGCAATATTTTTAATTGACACACTTCTATTTCTTAATGATTTAGAATAAGAGTTTAGAGAAATTATTCAGAATATCAAATATCATATAGAATAAAATGACGTTACAGTAAATTTAGGTGTTATGTATACAAATATGAATGAAGTGAGTGAATTTGTACTGTACATAACAAATCATGAGGAGCACTGTACACCTGGTCTTGTACAACAGGTGGCTGTTGTACAGCCACCATGGCTGATGGTGTCATCAAATGCTTGATGGATTTGGTAGGGCAGTGGCAGCGAATGGCAGCAAATGCTATGATGGCTGATGATGTGTGTGGTGGTGCTTATATCTCTTAATGCTGTCTATTGTCAATGTTACCATTGATTTACGGATGCTGTATTTTTGTAATATTTAAATGCCCTTTTTCCCTATATTGTCTCATTTTTCCTCCTGACTGATGTCTTCCTGTCCCCTTGAAAGTGTGAAATAGGGTGATGGTAATATGCACGTGGATTTCTTAAATATAATTATGAAAATGATATCACAGAATGAGAGCTCTGCTCGTGGTGTCCAGTCTTCCTTATAATTTGTCATACAGCACTTTGAAACTACTGATGGTTTGTTTATACTATTGTATACTAGTGTATTAGACTACACTAATATCATACACTTAGTAGAACTAATATGATAAAATGAGGTTAACTACTATCTGGCTAGTTAACTTGATTAACTACTATCTGGCTAGTTAACTTGATTAACTACTATCTGGCTAGTTAACTTGATTAACTACTATCTGGCTAGTTAACTTGATTAACTACTATCTGGCTAGTTAACTTGATTAACTACTATCTGGCTAGTTAACTTGATTAACTACTATCTGGCTAGTTAACTTGATTAACTACTATCTGGCTAGTTAACTTGATTAACTACTATCTGGCTAGTTAACTTGATTAACTACTATCTGGCTAGTTAACTTGATTAACTACTATCTGGCTAGTTAACTTGATTAACTACTATCTGGCTAGTTAACTTGATTAACTACTATCTGGCTAGTTAACTTGATTAACTACTATCTGGCTAGTTAACTTGATTAACTACTATCTGGCTAGTTAACTTGATTAACTACTATCTGGCTAGTTAACTTGATTAACTACTATCTGGCTAGTTAACTTGATTAACTACTATCTGGCTAGTTAACTTGATTAACTACTATCTGGCTAGTTAACTTGATTAACTACTATCTGGCTAGTTAACTTGATTAACTACTATCTGGCTAGTTAACTTGATTAACTACTATCTGGCTAGTTAACTTGATTAACTACTATCTGGCTAGTTAACTTGATTAACTACTATCTGGCTAGTTAACTTGATTAACTACTATCTGGCTAGTTAACTTGATTAACTACTATCTGGCTAGTTAACTTGATTAACTACTATCTGGCTAGTTAACTTGATTAACTACTATCTGGCTAGTTAACTTGATTAACTACTATCTGGCTAGTTAACTTGATTAACTACTATCTGGCTAGTTAACTTGATTAACTACTATCTAGGTAATTAACGGTTAATTCTTATCTAGCTCGTTAAGTTGACTTAAGATTGATATTTCAGTTTTATATGATTGATTCACAAGAGTAAGATGCACTTTTATTAGTAGAGTATATGCTTTTCATAGTAGACATTGTTGATTTTCAGAATACTGTGATAATCTCACTGGGTTAGCAACCATTCATAACCGTGACTACCGATTATACGAACAACGATTTTTGCCAACCATGTCCCAGGAGCAGTTTATCAATATGTGGCGCACAGTCTACAGCTTCTTTGCTATGGAAACCAACCAAGATATATTTACATCACTCTCTAGAGTTGGTATGTTGTAAAGCTATACATCAATATGTTGCTATTGCTTTTGTATCATAGTAATAAGTGTTCTGGGAATAAAGGAGACTTATCATTTTGACGGAACTGTTTGTATTCAAGGAACGTTGCTGCTGCAGATTGGAGAGATGGGACGACGAGTCAAAGGAATGGTGTCCAAGTCCAGCAGTGAAAATGTAAGTCAGCTTGTACATTTCTTAGATTGATTTAGCTGGTATTTGTATTTTATAATTATGGATTCTGTGATTAAAAAATTGGAGGAAAATGAGGACATATTGTGTAAACATAGCCATTTAAATTTTTCACTTGTGATGAAATGGCAGCAGCTGGAAATCCAGACAGAGGAGTTTGTTTGGTAAGAAATGAAGGTGACTGAAGCCTCAGACTGAAAGTGACTGAAACCTCAGAATAAAAGTGACTGAAACCCAACAAACATTAAAAATACAAAAAGGTGGTGGCATCTCAGTTTGACCTCATCACATACCTATTTGGCAGGTTTAATGTTTATATGTTTCAGGTGTAGTTGTAACTTTTTATTATAAAGATATTATGTACCTACCTTGTGTAGGTTCATAATATTTTGAACTTTATGAAGTGTTAATATTTCATAAGGCATTATCAGTATGCTGATAATAGTACTAGTTTTTGGATGGGCAGAGCTTGCTTTGGTAGCTGTGTAATGGCAAGAAATTGTTAATGAATGCCAATAAAAAAAATGTATAATAGGTTGGTGCAAATATAAATCTAGTAAATTTTGGATTAGGAACACATTAGCCCTGAGTTCAAAATTAATGGCCATCGACGGTTCCTGAAAGGTTTGTGATGAATGATGTTAGGGAAAGCACAGGGTGGCAGTCCATTCTGTGAGATGGCTGCTGAAGGGGGAAAAAGATGAGAATGTAGCATCAATTTCCTGAATCAGTGGGAGATGATGTAACCGTGAAGCTGCTGCTGTATATTACATGATCATGCTTGAAGATATGGTACACTCTCACGTCCCCAAGCGCACCGGCTATGAATGTAGTTGTAGAATGGAAGAAAGGTGCCCTCTTATGATTATTAATGATAATTACTGTATGAATGTATGAATTACTCTATTATTATTATTACCTCAATAAAATCACAATATCGTCATATGTAAATGAAAATCATTTTGAGGCAATGGAGTTACTTGGACCCGCGTTCCGGTGATTCCCAGACACCTGCCTTAACCGACTCGGCCACGATGGTACAAAAGTTGACCAACCCGGAACTCTACTGAATTCACCGGGAGGTTCTGGAGGCCATGAACAAGAAGGAGG